TTCTTCCTTTTAACGACATTCTTATAGTAAGCAATAATTAAGCATACACATGAAAACATTTCTACCTTATCCTAAAGTGTTAGATGCCTAATTCTGAAAATGACACAAGAAGTCAGTGGACTTTTGGAAACTATACAACATTAAAGTGAGTGACAATAGAGAAATTACAAAAATGGAGAAAAAAACAACAAACAGACAGCTTTGGGGGTTTTGATTTAGAGAGAGAGAGAGAGAGAGAGAGAGAGAAAAAAGAATTACTCAAAAGAAATGTTGATAAGGATAATTCAATTTGCAATGTACAGACAGCTTTTCACATCTAGTTATTATATTAAGATAAAAGGAAGATAAAAACAACCAAAGTCCTTTTCCTTTTTCACTTTTTAGATTGGTAAAAAGATGGCAGGGCCTAGATGAATCAAATTCCTTTGTTTGAAAAAAAAAAAAAAAAACATAAATACCCCATCACTTTTATAAATATAAAGTTAAAACAACTACAAAACAATGATCAATCCCTTCAAAAAAGGAACATGAAAAAAAACAAGAGAGAGGGGAAAAAGAAAAGGGAACACATTATGATCAAATAGAAAATCCATTGGAGAAAATATGTGTACAAGAATCAAATGGAGGACAAATTACGGTTTTGTCCAAAAATGTTAAGAAATTTAGGCTCCGTTCATTTCACCGATTTGAGTTTAGAATTCGAGTTTTGTTACAGTAAAAAAACTCTCAGAAATAATCACGTCTAACTCTTTTGTTACAGTAAAAAGTTCTCACATAAAGTTATATCTTAACTCGAATCATCGAACTAAACGGACCCTACAGTAAAAACACTAACGGATATGAATTTGGTTCCTCGACAATATGGATAGCATTCATTAATTCGAACAAACGTTCTTGACTCCATGACAAATGACAACTCACCTCTTTTAGTGCAAACAATTCAACTGCCTCTCATAATATTTGTCCATATGGACCTAGCTTAAACTAAACCGAACCATGTTCATTTCTTCGCCGCTGCCTCTCAAGATGAGAGGAATTTATAGATCATCAAAGATCGATGACAAATAGCAGCGGTTGAGTTTACATCGTATAACTGAGAGGATTTGTTTTTATTAATTGACATTGAGTGAACACCCCTCTCATAAAAAAAGAGTAATTAGGGGATATTTATCTCTCACAATTAGGGCCGGCAATACAAATTACGACACGATAATACGACTTGAAAACAATACGAATTTTCCGGGTTAGGGTTGAGAAAAAAGATGTTCGGGTCAGAATTTAATCGACCTGAAATTGACACGAAAAACACGGGTCAATTTCGAGTTGGACCCGTCTAACCCGAACACGACACGAAACTCGTAAAAAACTAAAAAACACGTATATTTTTCATTACAAATTTTTTATTTTATTATGAACTTATGATATCATGATAGTTATACTCAAAATATTATACTATTATTTGCTTAATTTTAATGGATGTTATTGTATTTTAGTGTGTTATGTATTGTAAGTTATTTGGTAAAAAACTAAATAAAAGTATATAATTTTTGTGTCAATTTCGTGTCACGGGTCATTTTCGTGTCGTATCGTATCAACCCGTAAAGTTGTCGTGTCGTGTTCATGTTGCGGTTTTTAAAAAAATTCGTGTCACGGGTCGTATTCGGATTGATTATAAATTTAAAAAAAAAATTAATCAAAACACGATATGAACACGACACATGACACGAATTACTATCTCTACCCACAATAACTATTGACGACGTTAATCACGTCACCGGAGATAAGTGTTGGTGGAGTTGAGGCTCGTGTGTATGGACGCGAAACTCCCCTAGCAGTTACTTTGGATTTTACCAGTTACTTTGGATTTTACCCTAGTCACCACTAGGGATTTTACCTTATCTGCCACGCGATACCAGTCAAGAGTTTGGAATTTTCTTTTGTTTTTAAAGTAGTAAATAGTTTATACTTATGTTGTTACCAGCTAATTGAAACAAAGTCCATTCTTTTTTTTTTTTTAATAAGGTTAAAAATTTTAACTCTACATCTAAAAATGAAATCATATGTGGATAAGTCTATATTATTTATTCACTAGTGTCATTACTTTTCTTATTTCCTCCTGATTCTGTGTTTTTCGACTCTTCAAGTATATATATGAGTAGTTTTATCCGTTCATGTGGAGTTTTAACCTTAAGGATATGGGTCTAACATTTATAAGTTAAAGCATTCTTTTATTTTCTTCTATTTTTTTTTCAACTTTTTTCTTACCATAATCACTTCATTTTACAGAAATTAAATGATATTAGGCCTAACTCAACCTAACAAAACTGACTTGTTATGAGAGGATTGCCCTCACCTTATTAAGTAGATCATGCCAATATCTCCAGCCAATGTAGGATTCTAATCCGCTCCCTCACGCACAGCGTGGGCCATGCCAAACCGCTGCAAATAAGTCGATATTAGGGAACCCAACATTGTAAAACTGGGTCTGCTCTGATACCATTTTATAGAAATAAAAGGATATTGGACCTAACTAAACCTAACAAAACTGACTTGTTAAGAGAAGATTTTCCTCACTTTATTAAATAGATCGTGCTAATATCTCCAACTAACGTGAGATTTTAATACTTCTCCCTCCATTATCCCAAAGAATAAAAATAAAAAGGGATGCAATAAAATTAGGGGGAGGGTTAGTTTTTACTTTTTAGGGAGAGAAAATTAGAAAACACCAACAATTAATAGTAGTAAATATGTGTGCACTTTCCTTTATAAAAAAGATGCTCTTGATCTTAATTGAAATTTCAGATATGGTTTATTAAGTTTCATATTGCAAGTACGAAAGGAAATATATTCTGCCAAATAAATTTATTTCCGAGAAATCATAGACTAGGAATATCTACACACATATATGTTATAAATATGGAGTATTGAGCAATATCTTTTACTTTTTTTTTTGTTTTTGATAAATCTTTTACTTAATTTTTGGGAGGAGTGGAAAAATATTCAAGATGTCCTTTTCATGGTCTACTTAATTGTCACAAGACGAAAAGATCACAATCCATAGATTGGGGAATACTTTTCTTTAATTCGGTTCCATTTTTTTAATCTTTTTCCCTCCAACAAAGAAGTCTAAAATAAAGTTCATACTAATAATCCCAAAACGTAATTATAGTAGTCAACAAATATTCATGAATAAAATTTTCTTTGAGTAATTATATTAAGGGAGAATGACTCTAGGTTATCTCTCGGGTAATTAGTGCAAATGATGTCCACATTTTTTTTATTAAGTGATCTTGATTCGAATCTTTTGATTATAAAAATTAAATTCTTTATTATTAACCAATGTGTTCGATAATAAATGTAATTCACCTACCTCACTAGAGTGCATTTTGCAAAAATTAAAAACTAGGGATTTATTATAAAAAAGCAAAAATTTGAAATGTAATAATGCAATTTACTCGAATTTTAAATATAAAGGTATGAATGTGATAGGGGTTAACCGTATAAGAGTATTGAATTTTTTTTTTATAATCTTAAAATATATTGTATGAAAAGGACAAGGGGTTTAATGAAGCCGAAATGGGTAAGAATAAGGAGACGTTTGGTTCATGGATTAGAATCATGAGATTAGAACTATTTTCGAATTACGTGTATTTTTTGTGAAAGAAAATACTGTAGCGAATCATGAATCATGATTCGAATCGGGGTACGAATCCCCTCACCAAACAACCCCTAAATTCTCAACTAAACATGACGAATATCCAATAGCTCACAACCTCCCCACCCACACGAAAAAAATAAAACAATAAAGAATATAAAACAGACAATAAAAAAAGGGCGGAGAATAGAAGTATAAAACAAACAGAAATTACTAATTTTTTTAACCATGTGATAAATAATTAGTAATTTATTTTCAGAGATCTTTTCTTTTATGAAAATCTTCGTAATAGAGGGTAAACATGTTTATTTTCAATTATTTGATTAGTTTTTTTTAAAAATTAAATTTGTATATATTATATTAAAAATTTACAGCACACCACGTAAAATTATTATTATTATTACACAACTGCTAAAACCATCTCTAATGTAAATATTAATGCTAATTGTATATCTACCGTCAAAAAGTATGATATGATATGTTATTTTTATTTTTATTCTAATTTATTATGCTATTTAAAATGTTAAATATATTTTTTTATAATTATTAAACTTTAAAAGTTGTAAAAATAAATTTTTATATTTAAAATAATTAAAAAAAGGCAAAAATTACATTGAATATATGAAAAAAGTAAAAAAATTTCATCTATTATATTTAATACAAAATTTACTATATAAAAAATTTAATAAAAAAATAGCATTAATAAATGACGGTTAAAAAGTTAAAATTTAATAAAAAAGGCAAAAATTTACTATTAAATTTGTAATTGATATATTAATTATTATGAAGATGCTTTAAAAAAAAAAAAAAAAAAAAAGCAAAATAGTCTTCCCCACGTTATATGCAACCAACTTGGGCACTATATTTGACAGAGACATTTACAGATTACACGGTTAAAATTTAATTAATAAATGACGGAAAAATCTGCTATATATCAATGGGACCCGTAGAATTCTCCGTAAGAAAAATCCAAAAACAGAGAAAAAGACTCGAAAAGAGAAAGAACCCTGTGTGTGTGTTTTTGCTTCTGTTTTGGTCCTTTCTTTTTAGTTTGGACATTAGACTTTGGAGGGAGATTTTCCACTCCAAATTTCAATTCCCATATTTTTCCCTTTTAGAAGAATAATAATAATTATTATTATTCATCACTAACTCAAACCCTACTACTTTCACTACTGAAGATGTTTTGAAAAAATTGATCCCAAATCGACCCCTTAACAGATTTCTCTGTGCATGGAATTCTGTATATGAGTTTGAGCATCAATGGAGGTTTGTAATTTCAATCAATGAGATAGATATTTACTCTTTTTTGTTTTGTTTTTCTTGTTGGTGTGTTTATTTGAAAAATACGAGGGAGGAAGTAGAAGAAGAAGCCATTAATGGCGGAAGTGAGAGTTTCGGATCTCCACTTGAAGAAGGAGCTGACGCAGATTCGGAAAGCCGCGAGGGCTCTTCGCGATCCAGGAACAACCTCCTCATGGCGCTCTCCTCTCGCTTCTTCTTCTAGATCTGTCGCATTGCCGTCCAAATCCGAAAACGACTTCGGCCTTAGGTCATTTCCGGCGACGACGGCCGCCGGCGACAAGAACAAGCGAGTCTTCTTGTACAACTGGAAGAACCACAAGTCCGCCTCCAAAAACGGCGACGTTTCCGTGGCGGAGGACGATGACGAGGAGGAGGAGGAGGAGGAGGAGGAGGAAGAAACGTCGTCGTTTGGCGGCGGCAGTTTGGACGACAGCTTGAGCGACGCGCGCAACGGGATGAGGGGGAGGGACGCGAGCCTCGTCTCACTGGGGACGCCGTCGGTGAAAAGGAGCGGCGGTGGGATCAAGAAAAGAGGTAAGAAAATGGATTCGCATTTGGAATTGGATGTTTTGTCAAAGTATCAGAAGGAAATAATTCTCTCTAGGAAGAACAAGTCTTTGAACTCTAGGAGATTGGTTGATAATAGTCTAGGATTAATAGGCCAGGACGATTCTGTTGAACAATCTGATGACACCGATCAAGACTACTCGAATTCCGAGGATATAAGGCGGGTTTCTAGGGCTTCCCCATTGCTTTTGAAACTCAAGAAGCAGAAAAATTGGTCGCACTCATCATCTAAGTTTTTTAGAAATGGTAGTAGGAGAGACGACTCGTCTTATACTTACAGTACCCCAGCATTGTCGACTAGCTCTTATAATCGGTACGTGGGGAACATTCGTAACCCGAGTACCGTTGGATCGTGGGATGGGACCACGACTTCGGTTAATGATGGGGACGATGAGGTGGATGATGGTTTGGATTTGCCGGGTCGACAAGGGTGTGGCATTCCTTGTTATTGGTCGAAGAGGACGCCGAAGCATAGAAGCGTGTGTGGAGGATGTTACTCGCCCTCGTTTTCGGATACTTTGAGGAGGAAAGGGAGTAGCATGCTGTGTGGAAGTCAAACTATGTATGCTAGACGCCGTAGAGCGTCATTAAGCTCCAACAAACGGAGGATTGCATTGAGAAGTGCACAGGGTGTGCTTCCGTTGCTTAGTAATACTATCGATGGTAGGGGAGGGTCGTCTATAGGGACAGGGAGGAGTGATGATGAGCTCTCTACGAATTTTGGGGAGCTTGATTTGGAGGGTCTGAGCAGATTGGACGGACGGAGGTGGTCGTCTAGCTGTCGGAGTCAGGAAGGGTTGGAGATTGTTGCTCTTAGTGGGGAAGGAGAAGAGGAAGGGACACCGGGAAATAGTAAGAGTTTTAGCCAGAAGTATAAGCCCATGTTCTTTGGTCAGTTGATTGGGCAGGGTATTGTGGTGCAGTCACTTATGAATACCATTTCAAGAGGTCGAATTGCGCCTGTTTATCTCTTCCAGGGTCCCCGTGGGACGGGAAAAACATCGGCAGCCAGGATTTTTGCTTCTGCCTTGAACTGTTTGGCTCCTGACGACTCTAAACCATGTGGCTACTGCAGAGAATGCACTGATTTCATTGTTGAGAAGAATAAGGATCTCTTGGAAGTTGATGGCACCAATAAGAAAGGGATTGATAATATTAGGCACCTATTGAAAAATATATTATCAGGGTCTTCACCAGCCTCCTCACGGTACAAGGTTCTTGTGATTGATGAGTGCCATTTATTGTCTTCAAAAACGTGGCTGGCCTTTCTTAAATTTCTTGAAGAACCACCGCAAAGAGTTGTGTTTGTATTTATAACTACTGATATTGACAACGTGCCACGTACTATACAGTCTCGTTGTCAGAGGTATCTGTTCAACAAAATCAAAGACAGTGACATTGTGGCAAGGTTGAAGAAGATTTCTGCTGAAGAAAACCTGGATGTTGAACCGGATGCACTGGATTTGATTGCTTTGAATGCAGATGGCTCACTTCGAGATGCTGAAACCATGTTAGAACAATTGAGTTTATTGGGGAAAAGAATTTCGAAATCGCTGGTGAACGAACTGGTAAGTTTTCTCTAAATGTTTCTCGACATTTTCTGCTTCAATGGAACATTTATATAGTTTTTGCAAATAGCATACTGTAAATAGATAGATAAGTAAATTCTTTAACAGGTAAATACTTTGTTTTTTTGTTTTTGTTTTTTTCTTCATTGCTTAATAGGACAATCAAGCTTACTAATAGTTTCTGTTATCTACCATAGGTTGGGGTTGTTTCTGATGAGAAGTTGTTGGAACTTTTGGAGTTAGCAATGTCATCGGACACAGCAGAAACTGTTAAAAGAGCCAGAGAGTTGATGGACTCTGGCCTTGATCCAATGGTGCTGATGTCTCAACTTGCCAGCCTAATAATGGATATCATTGCTGGAACTTACAATATCTTTGATATCAAAGGCAATTCATTATTTGGTGGACGAAATTGTGAGTTCCCGCTCCTACCATTCTTTTATCAATATAGTTAGGCAGTGTTATGTGCATACAACACCATCATTACCCGTATAACGAAGAGGGTTAAACTTACAAGCTCCTCAGCTAGTATATCTTTGAATAGTACGGAAGTGATAAAAATTTATGCCAGTCTTATTTTGCTATTCTTATTTTTCCTACTGTTTGCACTAAAAAGATTTATCCTTCTCCTTAACCGAAGACGCAGCTACAACATGAGTACCCAAATGTGTTTTCCAGAAACATTCCCTAGGGTGAAACATGGAAATGCGGGGAAAATTTATCTCAATAAAAAAAAATAAAAAAAATAAAAAAAAAATATATATATATATATATATATCCATCTAGATTCTAGACACATTCTATTTCATTTTTCTTTTATGTATTGTCAGTGTTCTTATAACTTGCATGTTTGATTATTTGCTCAATATGCGGTTGGGGGTCATGCCTTAGTGACTGAAGCAGAATTGGAGAGATTAAAGCATGCTTTGAAGCTTCTTTCAGAGGCTGAGAAACGACTCAGAGTTTCAAGTGAACGGTCAACATGGTTCACGGCGACTCTTTTACAACTTGGTTCAGTGTCTTCTCCAGACCCTAATCATTCAGGTAGCAGTAGGAGACAGAGCTACAAGACAGAGGATGGTCCGTCAAATGCTTCAAGAGAAGCTACTGCGTATAAGCAGAAGTCAGATGTTCAATATCTCCCTCACAAAGCAACTTCTCCTGCCGGGCAAAATGCAGTAAATGGTAATCTCAACTCCAGAGGAGATTTATTGTCCCAAAATGATGGTCTCAGTATTAACTCCAAGCTCTCTCATATGGATGTTGGTGTTTCAGCTGCCTCATATAATGATGTCATGGTTGGAAATATGATGATTCGATGTGTAAACTCGGAAAAATTGGATAGTCTCTGGGCACGGTGCATTGAGAGATGCCACTCAAAGACACTGAGACAGTTGCTTCATGCTCATGGACGGCTCGTTTCTATTTCAGAAGTTGAAGGTAAGCTCATTAATTTTGTAAAGGCTCTAACTATCCATCTGTTTCAATTTTAAATAAGAATGCACTACAATCTGATTGACCTTAGTCAGAGTTCTCTTGATAATTGTTTCCCCGTCTTTTAGCTTACTGGCTAAGGCTAGGTTAATGAAACTTGTGCATGTAGGATAGGAAATCTGTGTTTTCCCAAACCCCGAAAGCATCCCTTACTTTGGCTAATTATACCTTTGTTATGTTTTGCTTTTTAACATATTCTACATAAATACTACGATGGTTGAGGCAATAGAATGTAGGAGTGACAAGTCCAAAGAACAGTGAAAATCTGGGAATCAAAAACGAATTTAAATGGAATATGACAGCACTCTTAGTTAATGTTCGAAAGCTACTTAACTAATATAATTGTATACGCAGGTGTTCTGATTGCTTATGTTGCATTTGCTGATGAAAATATTAAATCTAGAGCTGAAAGATTTTTGAGCAGTATTACAAATTCGATTGAAACAGTTCTGAGAAGCAATATAGAGGTTAGAATCATCCACTTACCAGGTGGAGAGGTTGCTCTACATGGTCCAAGTCCTATGGGAATTGAAACGGGGAGGAAGGCAGGTCGCCCTGATCATACTGGCGGTTATTCTAATTCCTATTCATTGCCAAATGGGACCTACCATTCTACATCTGCGTCTTCAGAGTTACTGGCTGAAGGTGACACACAAACAAGTGATAAAGGAGAGCAGAGGCAGGAGATACCGATGCAGAGAATTGAGTCCATTATCCGCGAGCAAAGGTTAGAAACTGCCTGGCTACAAGCTGCAGAGAAAGGCACCCCTGGATCATTGAGTCGGCTGAAACCCGAGAAGAATCAGGTACTGCCTCAAGAGGGCAGTGAAGATCAGACAGAATTAACGAATTCAATTGGGCTGTCCTCTCGGCAATGGGAAGATGAACTAAACCATGATCTCAAACAATTGAAGGCTAACAATGGTAGGGTCCTTCAAAAGGACCAGATAGGTAGAAAGGTTGATCGTTATCCCATGTCCCCGAGTTTATTGCATGATACCAGCTTCATGGGAACTTCTATAAAAGACAACCTGTGAGTCTTAATTTGATTCATATTACATGATTGCCTTATTTTCTTTTACTTCCAAATTGACTGATTGATTTGGCTGCTTTTATCATAAACAAATTAGGTTTCTGGAAAAAAAAAAATTAAAATCATAGCCAGATGACTTTGCACTCATCTGGTTCATAGGTTTGAACGTAAAATTTAAACAGAAATTCAGTGGTTTTTTTTTTTTCTGGTGAGAGAAAACACTATTGCATAAAGGTTTAGTTGAACTGTGGTTCAAATCTGCGAGACAAACAGGCTTTTTATTTTACGTACTTCTGGAAAGGATTTTCACATTCAAATTGTAGATGTTAACAGGAATCATGGAATTAACATTTTTTTTAATGCTAAGATCCATTTATCAACATCTGTGTGTTGTCTAACATCCTGTTTTTCTTCAGGAGCTATGAATCGGGGTCTGCGGCGGGAGGTTGCAGCAGATTTTTCTGTTGGAATAGCAGCAAACCCCACAGTAAGGGGAAGGTAAGCTCTTCTTGTATTTGCTAGTTTTACCTGTTTGTTCACTCACTCCGTTTCTTAAACCACAAATAAATCTCCTCCAAATGTGGCTAAACAGGTAAGAGGAACCCCCCGGCCGACCAAAGGTGGGCGGTTTTCATTGTTTGGTGAATGTGGGAAGCCAAAGAAAACTGAGAGCAGGTTTAAAAGATAAACAGGAGATTCTAGTTTGGAGCATTGGAGATACCATTTTTTTTCTTCTTTTTTTTTTTTGGGATGCAAATTCTTGTTGTATTTACTATTTATTTTCCACTTGAGCCATTTTTCAGGGGATGAGGGTGAGGGAGGGAAAAATTGTAAAGGGGTGTGCGGTTGGGCTGCAATCATGTCTTCAGCTCCTTCCATTTTTCTTGGGATCAATAAAAATTAGTGTTTGGTAAACTGATTCTAATTTAGATTATGAAATAATAATTTTCTTTTTGTGAAGGATTTTTGAAAAGCAGCTGAATACATGATAAAACCCTTAAAAAAACCTTTTGGAATGCCCAAACTATTCTTTAATCGTATCGTGTGTGTATCTATATGTGAGTGTAGTTTTGATTACTCTAATATTTATGGATACAATTGTAAGATATTAATTTAACGGTTATAATAATAAATATTTAATAATAAAGAGTATTGATAATAGGCTTTGAATTCTTGACACCGCAATTTGGCTCCAGCTCCACATTATGTGGTAATATTCCCATTTAGTTTGTTGATTTGAATTTTTAATTTAAGTTGATATGTGATTTTATGTGAGTTTTTTATTGTAGCAAAAAAATTAGATGTGACTGTTTCTGATAGTTTTTTACTGTAGTAAAATTTGAGTCGGTGAAATGAACGGGGACTATGTCTATCAATTCAAGAAGGAAAAAAAAAGGCTACGTATTTAGCAGTGAAACATTTCCACGTGGGAAGGAGTTATGCGGAGTTGAAGAAATCCGGAGCCAAATACCATCAGTGTATTAATAATAAGAATGTTATTATTATTTTTCTTATATACTCATTAGCTATATATTCTATATATGTTATATTATTGGTTCAGAGACTTTGGGATACTAATTAATTTAAGTTAGCTTTGTGTTGTTGTTAGTTTTGAGTAAATTGCTATGCGAAAACAAAACAAGGTCAAAGTCGCTTACCCAACCCCAGTTTCCTTTTCCATTGGCCGTACTCTTTGGCACATTCCCATTTCATTTCTTTTGATTTTTTTTTTCCCCTTTGCAGTAGCAGATCAAACAAAGCACAGCTCACAAAGAGAAAAAAGAGAAACCAACAGGAAAGAACAAACAAGTAAATATATATATATATAAGGCTCAAGGGAAGCAACCAAAGCCTGGAGCAGAAAACCAACAAATAAGTTCAGTGGTATGCTGACCAGACTTGGCAAGTCTATCTGCTATGACATAACCCTCCTTGTCCACATGTGGGCATTATACGCCAAATGGGAAACTTTTCATCATGTTGTATCACTTATTTCTTTTTTTTTTTTTTTCCTTATTTCTCTGTTAGGAGGGAAAAAATGAGCTATCAATAAATTCTTATTTTTATGTCAAATTTGTATTAAAAACTGTATGTTCTGCATAATAATTTTTTAATCTAATATGATTATAACTAGATCAAACGATCAGAAACTGACTTTACCAATAAATGTAGTTTCAAATTGTATTTATATATTTGTGAGACGAAGAATCACAATTGTTGTTTTTCCTGGTCAACAAATAAGCAAGTAGTCAAATCCAATCAAAACAAACGGTGAATAACATTTTCCCACCTTTCACATTCATGCGAATTATTTAGTTAGGTGACTTTTTAGTATTGTACATGTGAGGTGACATTTTAAATTTTGCAAATTTAAAATAAAAACTGAAGCATGGCACACTTGAGCCTTTGTTTGGTAAGAGGCAAAAGCGAAACAGTAAGGGTGGAAAGTTTTGTGAATGAGTTTATGGTTGTTTGGTACCAGAGATTAGAGGAGGGTATGTGTTGAATGATGGATTCGAAATCATCTATAGGACCCTCAGTTTAATCCCTTTAAAATTGAGTGGATTGGAGGAAGGAACTCGTACCAAACACATTAAAGAAAAGGCCCTCCCCTCTCTATTTTCCTCGCGGAAATTATGTACCTCTCCATCTCTCCGATTCTCCCCTCCACCGACCAAACACGGCCTTAGAGATCAACACTTTCTATAAAGACAAGTGAATAAGAGACGCTTCCTCATTGTATTTATTTCACCATTTCTTGCCGTCCTTCCTCAGTGTATTTATTACATCATTTCTTGCTGTCCGCAGAAGGCTTATTAGGTTAAAAATATTCCACAGAAATCTTTTGTGGTTCCAAAGAATGTCCCAAATACAAAGGTTAGCAGAACGGAGAAATGAGAAGATCACAAAAAATAAAGGCAAAAGAACAAAATCAAGGTTATTTAGGAGACTTCACATTGTTCAGGCTCAATATTCTCTCTGCAAGTAACATATCATCCGGGGTTGTAACCTGCAAAGCACGTTAGTTTGTGATTATTGTCTTTCATTAAGAAACTTGGGAGTTAAAACAATTATTCTTCACCTCAAAGATTAAAAAAAAAAAAAAGAATTTCATTACCTTTATATTGGTGTAAGCGCCCTCCGTAATATACACGGGATGTCCTAGGTGCTCCACAATAGATACATCATCGGTCACTTCTAGACCTTCTCTGAAAGGAGATACAATGGCTTAGAAAGTTAGAAAGTGATATCATCATCGCTGGTGATGATGACCTCTTTAAGAGAATGTAAGTCTCACTTGTGGTACCACGAGCCTTGTGGAACCACAAACGAACTTTCATGCGTGTGATGATCATCACCATGAATAGCAATGCTCCTTAGAAGTTACATGCTACTAGAATCTAAAAGAAAATATGTTTTAGAGAGGGTAATATGAAGTGCGTCCGTAGTGACTAGGATGGATATCTTGCATCCGAAAACTAGCAGTTTGCCCCGTCAATCGTCTAGGGCCCAAATAACTCGCTTTTCTTCCACAAACTATTTGTGTCAATCTATTAGTTCAATCCAAACTTGAAATAATGAGTGTAATTCAAAAAAAGATTCATAAGTAGTTGTACATGTAAAGGAAGTTACCAATTTTTGAGGAGTTGGTATCAATTTATGCCTAATTTCTCCCACATAATTCCTCTAACCATATTTTCTAAATGAACCAGGGCCAATCTCACCATTTAAGCCACAATTTTTGAATTAGTTATTACTAAATGGTTGTTGTGTTCTTCAAAATATATGAATGTCTTTGATCTTGTGGAAAATTTTCTAAATACTTGAAAATCTATTGGACACGTACTAGTAGCTACTCGGTTTAAGGTTAAAAGATTGAAACATATAACACAACGTAAACAAATACTCACCTATTTACAAACTCAAAACCCTTTTTGAGCAAATCAGGTTTTATAACCTGCAAAAGAGAAGTGCGTGGAAATTATGAAAACATGCTGAACCACAGAGAGAGAGAGAGAGAGAGAGAGAGAGAGAGAGAGAGAGAGAGAGAGAGAGATGCTTTAAACAAGGAAGACCTGGGGGGTCTGCATTTCCCATAGTGTTTTCCTGTCCAGAGTTCTAACCACAAAAGACTCACTGTTTGCCTGCACAAAAATTAGGAAACAACTTTCAACGCTGACAAAATTAATAAACCAAGAAATGAACAGTTAAAAATGGTATCTCTCACTAAATTACTATTTTCAACTACATCAGATAAGGCGTTTATGGATGCAAATCTACTTTCAAAATGACACCTACGGTTCATCAAAACTAATGACTTCTGTTGCAAGATTTAAGTTTCATATTTATCTCCAAAAGCTCAAATGTGTTGAATTAATGTTTCGAAATTGCAAGCTTCGACTAAAGGATACCTCTTTGATTGTAGCTTTGGCAGGAACACCAAGCACAGCTGCTCCATGCAACCAACCATCTTGAAGAACCTAAAAGAAAAACAGATAAATCTAATAAATTGTCAATGTTCAAAAGTAGTGCTTTATGATATGATAAGCTGATACTAGAGAAGGCACACATTTGAAACCAAAAACTTAATAAATTGCAGAATCATAATGCCTGCAGTTGCATCCACTCGCTATATGAACCTTTTATGCCTTCCAGATAAACTTTGCAAAGGCCAACATGCCCAGACATTCACAAACGGTATTTGAGAATTAAAACACCACTTAGAGAAAAGAAAAATAAATAAATACCATTAAGTGAGATAGAGTCTAATTGATTGTTCCTTTTACATCAACAACAGTTTATTCCTTTCTAAATATGATTTGAACTTCCTGCGCATTCTTTTGTCAAATTTGATTCAGTTTTTATCAAAGCAAATTAAAATCTTAATAAGTAGTACACACTCGACATTCTACAGCCAATGGCCAAAACAATCGGATCCTGATTTAATTAGGAAATTTCCAAATATAATCCTGTAACTGCAAAAGCAAGAAGAACTAAGTTTCTAGGATTTCTTGTGGCCTTCACTTTTGAACTCAACCCTGCTAGGCAGGTTTGAAAAAAATTCTAGGATATTAAATAACTGTAATAATAAGAGCTTATATCCGGGTTAAGCAACTAGCATGTTATATGTTGGGTGAGTGGGTGGGTGTGGGGGGAAATTGATACCAAAAGGGCCGTGCGTGTTTGCGCGGTGATGGTCGTGGTGGTTGGGGCCTGACAAAAGTTCAGTTCAACTAGTTCATTGTCTCTCACTTTTCAAGACCATTAAACAAACCATAAGTGGTGAGATACACAATTACACAGAGAAAAAATGTACGACATTTTCATGACACGGTACTGAAGATGCCTAATAATGTTGTATGTCCAAAAGTGCAAGATAGTATAAGGTGATACAATCTTGTGTAAGTTAAAATTTAACTTAAAGAGAAACAAAGCCAATAAATTAGAAATCTGCAGGATCAATTTTCCATCTCATACCTTTCCAACTTCTCCTGATGTTACCAGAGGTCTTGCAGAATCATGGATACAAACAAGCTCAGAGCTCAAGTCAACTGCCTGTAAAAATAAGTATGCAATATGTCAAAATATGAAAACTGTTGTTGGCCGCCTCCTAATAGCTTAAGCTTTTAGGAGAATTAGTAAATTGACATCGTAATAGAACAGGATGACCTGAGTATAAACCCATGTGATTGCACTCCCTAAAATTATCGTCACATGTTAGGTCTTCTACTTAATATTTACTTACACGATTGCACATTGTCTAGCCCACATGTGAAGGGGAGTGGTAGAATATAAAACTATTTTTGGCCAACCTCCTAATAACTTTGGCTTTTGGGAGATCATTCAACAACACAACAACAACAGCAAGCCTTAATCCCAACTTAATTGGGTCGGCTATATGGATTTCACTTTTCCGCGCAGCTCTGTTTTAGGTATAAGAATGTCATCCCAAGCATGAACTGGCTATATGGATTAGACTTTCCTTAAGGCCTAAATCTAGAATGGCTTTCCTAACTACTTCGGTCCACGTAATTCTTGATCTACCCCTCCTTCTCCTAGTATTAGGTATAAGAATGTCATCCCAAGCATGAACTGGTGCTTCTAGCGGTCTACGTTGGACATGCCCATACCACCTCAAGCGGCCTTCGCGCACCTTATCTTCTATTGGTGCTACACCTACTTTACTACGAATAACTTCATTCCTTATGCGATCCATTCTCGTATGGCCACTCATCCATCTTAACATATTCATTTCTGCCACACTCATCCTACATATATGTTGTCTCTTAATGGCCCAACATTCACTACCATATAACATAGCTGGGCAGATTGCAGTCCTATAGAACTTTCATTTCAACTTAATAGGCATCTTGCCATCACATAAAACTCCCGTAGCACAACAAAATTCAGCAAAAAGCAAGGGACAATGCAATAATTTTAGATGCAGTTACATGCATAGTTCTACAATTGGCTGCTAGCACCCATTGTTTATAATGCAATTGAGAAGCATGTTAAACCACTAACAGAGAATATCCCCTTTTTTTCTGAAAAAAAAGAAACCAATAACATCTAAAGTTGCTTCTGTATTTGCTTAAGGTATAAAATAAATGGTAGAGAATGCAAACACATAAGACCTAACCAAACCAGTTTAGATTCTACTAGCCAGCTTGTAAGTAAAGACGGTTATGAAACCAGCTCCTCTCAATAGACCGAGAAAAGAGATGTAAAGAGACAACTTAAAAATAATAACTGGCAACATACTCAAAGAAGTCTAATATTTTTACCGTTTATCCCCCTTAATGTATACAAAAAAAAAAACCTTCAAAATTTCCTTCATAATCAGTTTATGGTGGCACCATTTTTCGTTAAGCAAATCATGACTGAAAATCTTATTTAGTAAGTAGAGACCAAAACAAGGCCACGCTCTTTTGCAACCAAATGATAATTGGTTCTTATGCATTTTTTCTTTTTTTAAGGAAACATTATCACTTATGCAAAGTTGATAGTCAACTAGTTATCACTGTTACAAAGTAGGACAAACGACTTGGAGAAAACATGAATCTCATAAATTGGACTGCTAAAAATATTTGGATAATAATAAAACTTATAAAAATAGGTTATCATGAAATAAAGAACTTCATGCACCTGAAGTCCACTGAAAACGGAATCTTGCCTTTCTTTCCCCGGTAATGTGAATTTAAGTTCCACATGGATCTTCTCTTTGGTATCTAAGAAATACAAAAAGTAAATTAGGTTTGGTTTTTCCAATAGAACAGAGAAACATAAAAAGCTCAATCAGCTAATTAGTTTTTAGTTTCTCGAATAGCACATAAAACATAAAATAAAATAAAATAAATTGATTAGGAGGCTAAGGCCTACCGCCAAAAAGGAAGTCAATCATATAAACACAGAGAAGGGGAAAGAGCAAGACACAGGCGGTACCTTCAAAGATATCCTGGTAGGAGGGATCACAAACCACAACAATTTCCTTCACTTCATCCAGTTCAGAGAAAGTGTAAAAGCTGCGAGGAATCAGCACATAAATATATACTGTTAATTCAATGTTGCATATGATTAGATACTTTAGTTTCCACAAGTCCTGTTAAAAATCTGAAGTGCCAACAAATAGACATTGCAAGACTAAAAATTGTGGAATCGAGTTGTCGTATTTACCTGTATAATGCAATTGGTTGGCCTAAAAGCGGAAGATACTGCTTTGGCATGTTGGCCTAGTTGCACAACCATAAGAAAACCATTATATGAAATGTGAAAAAGATCAACAAACTCTTTGCAAACAAAAAATCAAGTCAGTTTTTTAAATAAAGAATACAACCACAAAACATGAGATCACTCCTAGCAAGTAAAAAACCTTAGATACTACAATATAAAACATGACCCAAGGGAGAAATTAAGGACCTATAACCAAGCACAAAGTTTTTTGGGAACTTTAAATACACTAATCGGTTGAGTTGAGCTAAGTAGAGTTTAGTTCAAAGAATTAAATAAAAATTTCTAATAGGAAAGAATAGAGCAAGAGAACCGAAACCAGTGGTGTCCAACATGACATCTAATAGAAAGTATGAGACCATGATGTGGGCCTCACCTTCTATTAGTAATTTAGTGTGTGACATTAGACACCAATGGTGCCTTTTAACATTGTTCTAAATAATCCCACTTTTGGATTATTTGGACACGCGTGTTTCCCAGTCCATGCCCTCTGATTGTTAGACAATCTCACTTTTATCACAAATACTAACTAATGTAGTATGTGAGTTCTCATCCTTTATTGGTAAGTGTTTGAATTATCATATCAATTAATGATGAAACAAAAGTGAGATTGTCGTGCATGTGGATGCCATGTTGTGGGATCCACCTTTTATTAGTGTGTGGTGCTTAGCACCATAAAAATAATTTAGCATTGTTCATGTTAATAAGTGAACAATACTAAGGGACACCAATGGTGCTCAACACCACACACTAATAGAAAGTAGATCCTACAACATGAGTCCACAGACGGACCTAATTTCTACTAGTTGTAGTGCTTAGCAATGATGGTGCTTCCAAGCACTTTTCTTAGAAAAGTTACATCTACCAATACAACTCAGCTCCCACTAGAGTTGGCATCAAAAAGTTGGTACAAAAGTTAGGATCTTTAGCACTACTAATAAGAGAAAACCTTTTTCCTTAAGTCACAAAGTCACCCTTACTGCACTGTTTCACCCTTTCTGATGCAATGAAATGGCATCATTTCAGTACACACGTTTACCCTCAATCTACACAGGTCATAGGGAATAACACTTACACCCATTCGCTTTCCCTTTCCTCCAGCCAGAAGAATCACCGAAACGCTTTTCTTCTTCACAACATCAGGCTTCTGCATTTGTTATATAGAAGGAATCATCAAAAAGGAAAAACAAAAACATGAAGATGGCCCAATTTTTGTTTTCTTTCTTAGTATGCTAGGGACACCAATTCTAATCTCAAATTTATCTTTTCATTTACATATGCAATTTGTTATGATTGATAAATATGACAATCTTCCAAATAACTACCGATGAAAGAATAACAACTCAAAATTAGCAACAAAAAAAAAAAAGAAAAAAAAAAGTAGGATTAGAGTTTGTGTCCCTAAAATTACCCTTATTGAACAAATTTCCCAATCAGAGAATTCATAAGTTCGAATCTTACTTCTCCAACATTGGCAGAGCACAAAACGATCCTTGACTTGGCAAATCTAGTTGTTCTACTTCTACACTTGTCTCTGAAACCCACGCCATGAACTAAACCAAAACAAAAACAACGAAAGTGAGCAATTAACTGGAGTTAACCCAGTTCATATTTCTCCAAACACGATTCAAATTCAGTTTCTGCTTAGAGAATGGAATTAAACAAAATGGGTTACCGAGAGGGAGAAAGAAAATGACTTGCCTGGGAATCGGAGGTTGAAGCGTGGAAGTGGGTTAGTAGTAGTAGTAGTAGAAGTGGAAGGACAAAGTAAAGGAGAAACATTGCAAGAAGAAGAAGAAGAAGAAGAAACGGTAAGGTTCAGACCAAAGAGCCCCATCTCTTTTGTCTGACTTTCGGACTCGGAGAGAGAGAGTTGAGAACTGCAAATGGAAAGAAGACGACAAGACAATATTGTTTGCAAAACGTTGCATTTATTTTATTTATTTATTTATTTATTTTTCAAAGAGTGTCAAAAAGGAAATGGCGCAGTGAGTGAGAAAATTTTTAGAGCAATTCACAAGGATAGTCCCTAACATTTACAGTTTAGTCTTTATTCTTTTAATTTTAATAAAATGTCTTTTAAAAATTATTTAATTGAGAGATTTATATTTAATTTAAATTATAATTTATAATTTATTATAATATTTTTTTTTATAAAAATACACATAGATTAAAAATAATTTTAATCTTATATTTTAAACCAAATGTCTAATTTTTTTAAATTAGAGCAATTGACATCTCTCCATCAAGATCTGTCTGAATAATAACTCATTTTTATGCTGGAAAGACGAAAGTGCCCTGAAATGGATTACCCCATGAATTACTCTTTCTTTATTCTATATCTTCCTCTTCTCTCACTCACTCCATCGCAGATCTGCTGGAGATCACTAATGGCTCCTCACGCTCGTCCTTTCTCGGAGCCGTGGTCTTCGCCGCCAAAGTGCTGCCGCATAGGAGAGGGGGCGGACGGAGTTCATCTGCGAAGCCTCCACATTCACAAATGGAGTATGACGGAGTTCAACCCTCAATGGACTTCGGTAGAGATTGACACGCGGCCGAGTTTGGTGGAGTTCGGTCTAGTTCAACGCAAAGAAGATCGGCGATTTCCGATCTCTGTTCAAATCTCCACGATATGCGTTTTTGATTGCTGTCATGATTTGCGGCCTCGAGTGACGGAGATTCGACGGAGCCATCATCGCTCGGTCTCGTCGACAGATCCGACGAAATCTCCTTCGCGCTGGCTTCGACAGTTTTTTGAGCTGCGGTAGAGGCGACGATTGTACTGTTCCGAAAGCCATCGCTGGAGATTCATGTGCACGAGAAAGAGGGAAGCAGAGAGTGAGAGAGTGTCGAGGCCGGCAGACCAGAGCGTCGCCGGCATGTTGGCCGCCGTTCCTCGTCCAACGCGTCGTCGCCGGTCGATCTGCGTTTTGCAAGAGTTCGTGCCGCCAGCGGAGGGAGCTCGGGGTTGGGTCGGAACTCGAGGGAGAGGTGCGGGAAAGATCGTTCTCCGCCGCCGATCTGGGTGTCGACTGGTAGTCGTGGACCTCATTCAGCGCCACCACCGCATCATCGGATAGTCGCCGTGCACGGTATACGTCGGAGTAGGCGCCAGAACCGACCCGTGGAGGTGAGAGAAACAAGGTGGTGGCTAGTGGATTCGCCATTATTGCTGGAGGTAGTGGGCGAGGGGTTGAAAGAAACAGGGCTTTTGGGGATTGGATTTTAGTGGTGAGTGAGTTTGAAGATTCTGATAGGTAAATTGATTGGTTTGATGAGTGGTTTTGGTGATGTTCTTGGTTTGTGGTGTTTGAGAATTGTGTGATGGGTTTTGCAGAAGATGAACCCATGGAAAATGGAGTGGATTTGATGGCTTTGGTGAGGTTGTGAGAATTTTTTTTTTTGTTTCTTTAATCTGGTGAGGTTTTGAGGGTATTTTTGTCTTTTGAATTAAAAAGAGGCAATGATGGTTACGTTAGATTCTGTTATAAATTTAGCTGATTTGGATGAAAAAACTTTCTAATTTAATAACTTTCGGGAGTATTTTGTTAAAATTAAAAAAATAAAGACTAAATTATCATTTATTAAAAAGGTTAAGAGCCATCCGTGTTAATTACCCAAATTTTTATAATAGCAAAAGCAGCCATCAAAGTGGAAGGGAGTTTGGACTGCTTGGTGCCTAAAGATGCCCGCTATGGACTGTGATTCTGTTCGCGTTGACAACAAATTTTGAATAATTAAGGAGACGTTTTGTTCATAGATTAGAATTATTAGAATTATTTTTGATTTACGTGTATTTTTTATGAGAAAAAATAATGTAACAAACCATAAATTATAATTCAAATCGGAGTACGAATCTCCCAACCAAACAACTCCTAATATTTATAGACCAATTATACAAATTTCACACAAATTATGGCCCTTATTAGTATTTTATCTCTTAAACTTGAATTCTTAAGGCATGCTTGGCATAGCTTGTATAAGTACTTTTAGCTTTTTTAAGAAGCTACAATAGGTCAAATAGGTCAGCGTGTTTAATAAAATTTATTTTTACCTAACAACTTTTAAAATTGTTGCCTCACAGCAGAATTTGATAAGCAGGTCAAGAGCTACTTTTTCACAGCAGCTTCTATTATAATTGTCCAAGTTTATTAAAATGACCATAATAATAAAATTTAATTCTCAATCAACTCATTTTATTTCTTTCAAAACAAATTAAATAATTTATTTTATTCTAACTGTTTATTTAAAAATTAAAAATCTTTAATAAATATCTTATGCTAAATGTTAATAATATATTTTTATTATAATATTGCAACTTTGAAAAATTATTTACCTTTACTTCTTTACGTTATTTAATTTCTTTATAGATATATAGTTTATCTCGTTGAATAAAAACTAGTTTATCTCTTTGAATAAAACTAATTTATGTTTACAGATATTTTAATTAATAAAATGAAAATTATATTTTTTAGTATTTTGGTATATAAATATTATGAATATTGACTATAAAAATAGAAATAAAACTAATAATAAGTACGTGTGTTAAAGTATGTCTATTTTAATCATTGTACATTTTCACAGTAATTTTGTAGGTAGTTTACCAAACACCTAAATTTTTATTTCTAGTATTCACAACAACTTTGAAAAAAAAATTATTAAATACTTACATGTTTCTGATCACGGTAACTTCTGACTAACAGCAAAGCAACAACATAAATTTTTAACAACATAACAATGCCAAACTGGCATGTAATATCAACACCCGTTTTTATATTCTGTTAATAAGTTTGTCTGATATGTCTCTTTGAACAACTATTATTTTAGCTTCTAATCAAATAAACAATTATTTGATTATAATTGATGATACCATTATCTTCCTCTATTTCTATTCTTAACTTTTGAAAAATATTAATTATAGGATTAATTTTATTGTTGCCTCCTTAACTTTAAAGTCTTCTCATTTTACCTTATAAAATTTTAAAACTCTCATTTTATTCTTTGAATTTTGAATTTCTTTATTTCAAACCTTTTATAAGAATTTCTGTTAAAATCAGACGAAAAAAAGGGGGTCAAGTATGACTTTGTGAGTCTTTATCTGTTTTTCTCAACAAAAATTCAAACAGAAAGGCGATATGACTACATTACTCTCTTTTTCTCTACTTTTTTTTAACAAAAATTACAATAACAGGACTTAATTGAGAATAATTCTAAGTTCAAAAGGCAAAGTGAGAGTTTTTAAAATTTAAAAGATAACTGAAAACGACTATAAATTTTAAAGACAGGTAATAATAATTTTTTATTATAAATAACACATTCTTTATAATAGTTCATTCATAAAGCACATTTATGTTAAATTCATCTCATAAATAATTTTTTTATAAATGAATCATTTACCAATTTACTTGTAAATAAGTTATTTGCATAAATGCTTTAAAAGATTTATTTACCATAAATATTTAAAAAGTGACCTATCTATTATGATTTGAGTTAATTATATATGTGTATTTGGATGAAAAAAGAATGTCCACTAATTGTTATATTTGTATATGTCAATTCGTAATGTAATTTTTATTCTTAATTAATTACTTTTTAAAATCAGTTATATAAATTTATATAAAAAGGCATACTTGGAACTATATGATATCAATAACTTGATAATATTGTTGAATTAAATTCGGTCTAAATACTTCCTATAATTTTACTAAAATGCCCAGAAAGCAATAAATTGGGCCAGCTCTCTCCAAAGACCAACCGAACGACCGGTCCACCCAAAAGACCCAAAAGCCCATAACGAATCCTCTGCAAAAACTTCGTTGCCTTTTCCCTTCCACTCAGCAAAGAAGAAAGGAAACAACAATCCAAACAATCTCTGATCGGAACTCGAAGGAGAGAGAAAGTAGAGAGAGAGAGAAATGGCGAAACCACTGGGACCGACGGGAGAGTTCTTCAGGAGGAGGGACGAGTGGAGGAAGCACCCGATGCTGACGAACCAGTTGCGCCACGCCACTCCCGGCCTCGGCATCGCCCTCGTCGCCTTCGGAATCTACCTCGTCGGCGAGCAAGTCTACTACAAGCTTTACGCTCCTTCTTCTTCCTCCGATTCTCACTCTCATCACCATTCGGCTCCTTCTTCTCACTGATCCGCCGCACAAAACCCCCAGGTAATTCTTCCATTTCCCCCCTTTTTCCGTTTATTATCGCAAATTAGGGTTTTTCGTTCCATTGCATTGTGCCTTGTGTTTCCTTTGATCTTGTTCTGTGTGCTGATTCTGCGAGTAATTGTGGGTTTTTTTTTTTTGTTATTCTATATGTTGATTCGGCGATGCTCATACTGGAAATTAGTCAATTACTACTTGTTTTCGATTCACTATATCAAATTAGGGTTTCTTTCCCCCTTTTTTCGCTTGCATTGTGGCGCATGTTTCTGTTTTGATCTTGTTCTATTTGCCGATTCTGCGATTATTGTGGTTTTTATTTTGAATTTATTCTATATGTTGATTTGGCGATGCTCGTACTGGAAATTAGTCAATTATTACTTGTTTTCGATTTGATTCTGTGTTCATCTTGTTCTTTGCGCTGATTTTGTGATTCATGTGGCTTTTATTTTGAACTTATTCTATGTTTTTATTGGGCGATGCTTGTGCTGGAAATTAGTCAATCACTACTTGTTCTCGAGTCATTATGCCAAATTTGTTTCTTCCAATTGCATTGCGACTCGCGTTTCTGTTTTGGTCTTGTTCTTTGCGCTGAATTTGCAATTCTGTGGTTTTTACTTTTATGTTATTCTATATTTTTTATTTGGCGATGCTTGTACTGGAAATTTCTACTTGCTTTCGAGGTTGCTGTTATTTTATCCTCCATTGTGGGTGTAAAAGCCTCTGTTTGGGTTATTTATATCTTATTCATACTCCAGGACTGAAAAATTGGGCGCTTTTGAATTCTTTCTTGCTATTGGAAAATAAGGGATCTCGATGGTTGAATTGTTGTTTGAGATGGGGGCCTAGGCTGTATGATTTTAACTCAACTTGATTGATTCATGTTCACCAATGTCGTTTGTGGTTATTGTATCTGTTAGACACAGATTAATATTTTTCTAGGAGTTACTGGTTGTTGCTTTTAGGCTTGATGGAATATGCTTCTTTTTAATCTGGGCTTTTCCGTGATCTCCTAATATTTCTAATTTTTCAAATGGAAAATAAATGGGGGAGGAGCACTTGTAAATCCAGATGAAGTGTTCTGTGTGTAATGTAGAGTTGTAGTCAAAGAAATGCATGTTTTAAATTACTTCTGCCATCATTAGTTAGGCTAATTTTTTTTTTCTTATTAGTAATAATAACAACAATAATAACTGTAATGGTATTAATACTAATAATTGTTTCATAACAACTAGGTTAACGCAAGCATGCTCAATGGAGATGCAATTCTCTAGCCTAAGTAATGAAACTAGATTGCATGTGTGTATAAGAATAATTCTTAATGTCAAGTGTTTCTGTCTTTTAGGGGTTGCCTTAGCCCTTACTAACTGTTCAGCGTTTTGGATCTGTAGATAGCCACAAATATCACGGATCATTAATGGGGGTAGAACTAAAGACCTTGCAGATTGAGCTTATGGGGCGTAGTTTTAGAAATATAAATGAATAAATAAATCATAGATATTGCCGTGCTCAACTTTTCATCCCATTTGAATTTGATGTTCTTTTAGTGCAAGTTATGTGGGCAAGTATTCCAGTATGCTTCCTCCCTTTTATTTAAGCTTCCAAATTTGGGGTGTAATTAGCTAGCGACAGTGATTAGAGATTTTTTACTTGAGGCAAGAAGGAAGGTTTTAAAGATTGTTTTCTGTCTTGGGTTGTGGTTTTTAAGTCAAAGTTCAATGTATGGTTTGGATATGGCAATCTGAAAATGAGGAACTTGGCTTTGTAGGCAAGTTATGAAAATATTCATTGTAAACGGATGCCATGTGGCATACTACAAGTATAAAAAGTAGGCATGATTTGTGATCAGAAGTTCAGGAGTTCTCTTGGCTGTTTGCTCTTGGGAAGATTAAAACCTGTGACGTTTGGCTGAAAAGAAGACAATATTCTTCTTTTTCCACTTTGATGTGTGTTGTTCAAACAAAAAGGCTAAGAGGACGTTTGGTTGGAGGATTCAAACTATGTGATTCGAACCATTTTCGATTTACGTGTATTTTTTGTGAGAGAAAATACTGTACCGAACCACGAATAATGATTCGAATCAGAGAACGAATCCCTCCACCAAACATCACCTAAGTTTTAAAGTGTGGAATATGGATCATTCATTGTGCAAGGGCTCTATCAATAGTTGAAGGTATTGAACGAGACTAGGTATATGGGTCGGTTTGTGCGTGAAGTAGTTTTTATTTTCCATGGTAAAGTGATTATTGCATATGGAGTTTGTCTTGGTCTCTGTGGTCCTTTTTGAATTATGTTTTTTGACAAATATCTTTTATTGCAGCTGGATGCTTGGCAGAAGGAGTGAATCTTGGAGTTTTTATATTCAGTGCCCTTCTTCTTGTTTGTTCTTCAAGTAATAAGCTTCTTATTCACAAAATACTCCGAAGAGGGTAAAGCTTGTGAATTTTATGTCAGAGATTTGATATGTTGATGCTACTTATTCTATGTTTCCATTCCTGTGTTTGCATTTGGTGGTTCAACTTATCACATATGTAAAGGACCAAAAGGAGTTAATTTAGCGTTTCGACACATGTTTAATTGGTGTTTAATTGCGATTCCGTTTTTTATATGGGTTGGAGCAAATGCTATAGGACACCGCTTATGCTAAACACCATCCACTATTAAATGTTGGCCCCGCCGCATGAGATTTATAGCTGGAGCCTGTCTTCTATTATTGATGGTGTTTAGCACTAGTGGTGCCTTTAAGCATTTTTCTATAAGAGTTATGTTATTTGGCTGAAACATCTGATGCTATCTAAAATGTTTGGAAAACACTCTGTGGTTCGATCCGCCGTTCCTCACGATCTTATGTGTCGATTCCTACCAAGCCTAGTCTTTGTTCTTTTTCTTGTTTTATTATTGAAAATACAAGTTTATTTGAGAATGAAAAAGGTTTCCAAAGAGCGCCTGAGAATAGAGAGAGAAAGGCACCCCCGAACTTACTTAAAACAACACTCATACTGCGAGGGCAAGAGACGAACTTTCTACTTGCATAAAAGAACAGAAAAAAAGGACCCGTCTGTCTTAAAAAAGGTGCAAAGACGAACGCAATAATCAAAATCATATACATAGTTATAGTTGCCACTGATACTTTTTTCCTTTCACTTTTTTATAATGTTAATAATATCCAATATCTTTGCTCTCTGTTAGAATGTAGATTTCTCTCCTCTTTTTCCCTTGAAATTTAAGTTGCGTAAGTTCTGAGCACTCACGCTGAGAGCTTCCTTAAACAGAACATGTTTTCGCGCCTGATGTCAAGTTGTTTGGTTGGGGGTAATGGGAAAGAATGAACATGGGAATGGAATGATTAGTGCTGAAATTTTAGATGGGACGGCTGTGACCGTCTGAAAAAACTGAATTTGTACCTGTTGTCTAAGCCCACCCGCCCGAGAAATTTGGGCTGCCTGCCCAAACTCAAAGACAATCTTGAACGGGCTTCGGGCAGGTCTTAGCTGCCTGAAGTCCGGTCGGGTAGCCTAAGCCCGCCGAGCTGTCTAAACTTTTTTTTTATATTTTATAATATATAATATTATTAATTAATTGTATTTGTATATAAATAATTATTAAGATATTTATTGTAAAAATTATATAAAAATTATCATTAAGATTAAAATAAACACACTATTAACACAAATCAATTTAAAAAAGAGAGATTGAGAGACAATGTGAGGAAATGTTTGGAGGAGGGAGGGTATTTATAAGGAAATTTTTAGAGTAAAAAAAATCAATTTTTTTTGGTGTGAATTTTCGAATCCAACAGCTATTTTTACCTCGGCGGGTCGAGCTTTGGGCTGGTCGGGCATTCCGGACAACGGTAAAAAAATAGTCGTTATTCTCGGGCAGCAGGTCGGGTCGGGCATAACGGTCAAAAAAAGAGCCGTTGAGCGGGCTCTTGGTCGGCCTTTCGGGCAGCCTATGGAGGGCTTTGGGTGGGCTTCGAGCATGGATGTTGAACGGACAGCGGGCTTTGTCCAACTTCAATTTTTCAGGCTGCCCGAGCCTGAGCCTGACTTTTCTATATGAACAGGCGGACAATGGGGCCTACCCGCCGAGCCCGAAAAAATTCGAGCTTCGGGCAGGCCCGCCGCCCAAAGTTCGAGCACTGGGAATGACCATTTCTCATTTAGTTCGTCTTGTAATCAAGGAAGTCATTTTATTAGAATGACAATTCTACCAAGTTGATTCCTAAACTAAATGGCTGGAAAGGCTTTTCCATTCCTCATCCCAATATATTTCTTACTTATTCATTTTATGCTTCAACAAACTATGAGCCCTAATAATTAATTACTTAAACAATGATAATTATGATTAAAAAGATATTTAGAGGCGAATGCGTAGATTAAATTGGAAATTCAATTTGAGGATGGACGACCTCCTGTATTTGTCTTCACTTCTGGTTCAATAAGAGATGTTGAAGAGGGGTCTGCCAACTCTCTTAACTTTCTCAACATGTATAATTTAAGCCTCGTTCACTTCGTGGATTTGAGTTTTTAATTTAAACTGAGATGTGACATTTTTTAGAGCTTTTAACTGTTGTAAAAAAAAGGTTAGATGTGACATTTTTTTAGAGCTTTTAACTGTAAAAATTTAAAACTGAAAACTCAAATCGGTGAAATGAACGAGGCCTTAATAATGACATCAACCTCATTAAACCTTTTGACAAATAGATTCACATCTACATTGCTGGATATGGACTTGTTTTTGATTTCTTGTTTTTATATTGATTTTGGTTTAGTATAAAATAAAAAGAAAAATATTTTCTAATTGTAGTTAATTTAGGTATATGCTCTTGCATTCCTTTAAAAAAATTGTTATTTTCATTTATAATTAATGCCGGGTATGTTAATTAGTTTTAATGTAATTTTAATAGATGGTAAACTTGTAATAAATATGAATTATGAATTGGCAGGACAATGAATTTGGTGGATGCAAATATAATTATTCATTTTTAAGTTATGTCACGTGTAAATTTCAGACTTATTTATTTCATATACTCAAATTCAATTATTAATTTTACTATGATATTTTTTTCTCATAAAAAATTTAAAATTTAAATATTAAAATATTAAAATAAAAAAACATAGTTTGAATATACATTTTAAAATAGCCCTTTGTATCTCAATTTGATTTACCATAATTGTTTGGGGAGTTTCTATAATCTATTCAATTGACATGATTCATTTTTAACCGTTTATTTTAATTAAAATCACATTAAAATAAAAAGATATTCATAACAAATTTTCTGACTTTTAATACATATTCAAAACAAATAATCTGATAGGTGTAATAAGAAACCTAGATGTAGAATTCTCCCTTTTTCTATTTTTTATTTTTTCGTGTCTCAAATAAAAAAAAAGTTTAATTAAAATTGATTTATGCATTCATTTATTTGAGTTTTTTTTAGTTTTAAACTTTTAAAAATAAAAATTTTTAAAAAATATTATATTTAATTTATAACAAAAAAAATTAAATATAATATTTTTTTTAAAATTTTTTATTATAAAAATTTAAAATTTAAAATTTAAATCCGTCAAATGAACCGGAAGTCATGAATTTCAATCGAAGGACACCTTATTCATAGAGAGGGATCATTCCCAGCGGCCCGTTGATGGCTATGTGATGAGCTGAAGAAGAAGAAGAAGAAGAAGAAGAAGAAGAAGAGAAAGACGGCCTTAGGGCCGATCACAGTCATGGCGTCCTGAACCCTAAATTCTAGACAGAGGAGAAGAAACAATCCTAGAGAGAGAAACACAACCTTACAATGGGGAAGAACCCTTTCTCCTTCCGCCGGACCAGCGCTCGCCGCCGAATTAAAAAGACTCCGGAGACTCCCCCTCCTACGCCGCCGCCGCCGCCGACCATCGGAACCAACAATAACAACAGCTTGATCGCAGCCGCCGCCGCCGCGGGTGGTAAGGGGAAGAAGAAGACGGGAGGTGCTCGGCTGTGGATGCGGTTCGACCGGTCGGGTCAGTCGGAGCTCGTGGAGTGCGACAAGAGCACCATCATTCGCCGCGCCTCTATTCCCGCCCGGGATTTGAGGATCCTTGGCCCTGTCTTCTCTCACTCCTCCAATATCCTTGGTAATAGTCCTTTCTCCTTAATCGCAAATGCCAATTTCTGTTCCTAATTTTCACAATTTAGGTTGTTTTCTTGATGCTCTGTTTATTGGAAATTGTTAGATTTTAAGTATATATATTATTGGATTATCATCATCTGTTAACTCTTTAATTTTTAGCCAAAAGGAAAAAAAGAAAAAAAATCTGTGATTGATGAAAAAAAGATTTTGAGCTACAGTTATATGGGTGGTTTTTTTTTTTTCAGATGTTGGATTAATTTGATGTAGATTGAAATTTTAGCACTTTTGTTGGACTTGCAGATTTCCTGCCCTCCCAGCTTTTTCATCAATATATTATTATTATTATTATTATTATTATTATTATTATTATTATTGTTATTATGTTGTTGTTGTTGTTGTTGATGTTATCATCTAATCACAACCTTTTTTGTCTTGTAAAAACAAAGTAAAGTCACTTTTACATGATGAGGAAGGAAGGATTATGAGAAACATTATCTGGAAATCAGCTTGATTAAATACCCATTGGATTATAGAACACATCTTTGGAATCTGAATGTTTTTTTGTTAAACAATGTCGAGACTAGCTTACTAGTGATCTGACATGTGTTGGATAAGGGGAAACATCAGATGATTACTCTTAATCTTTGCTTTTTTCGTTTTATGTAAATAGTTGTTACTTTTTTATTATTTATTTAAGGTAGTTGATTATGTAGACTCGTAAAAGTATGCTGTTGTTAACTTGCCTTTGCAGCCAGGGAGAAGGCCATGGTGGTCAACTTAGAATTTATAAAGGCGATAGTTATGGCGGAAGAGGTGCTATTGCTTGATCCTCTTTGTCAGGAGGTTCTTCCTTTTGTGGATCAGCTAAGGCAGCAACTTCTTCATAAGAACCCAATTCAAATCGCTGGAGCGGGTCATTTTGATGAACAAGAAAATGAAATGCAGGATTTAACAAGCAGACATTGGTTGCCTGTTCCAGAGGCCGTCGAAGGCCTGCAGTGTGAGCTTCCATTTGAATTTCAGGTTCTTGAGATTGCATTGGAGGTTGTCTGTACGTACTTGGATTCCAATGTGGCAGACCTTGAAAGAGAAGCTTACCCTGTTTTGGATGAATTGGCTAGGAATGTCAGCACTAAGAATCTTGAACTCGTGCGCAGTTTGAAAAGCAATCTTACTCGTTTGCTTGCTCGTGTACAAAAGGTATAGTTGAGTTGAATTTATTGTCTTCTCTCCCATGATTATAAACCTCTTATCTTCTCCTTTTCCAAGTGGACGGCATATAACACATCTTGATTAAGACTAAGTTACACACAAAAGAGATCTTAATCGTTTGCTTGTATGTGTGCAAAACATATTCCAATGATTTTTTTGCTTCTTTCAGTGGCTTCAATTAGTGAAGCTGAAAAATGTAGCGTGTTGTCTGCAGTGATGGTTTGTGCTGGAATCCCCAATAGATTTCCCTAATTTCCATATTAAAAGAATTTTGGTGCTGATAGATTCTTATTTAAGTTATTAAAGTTCACTTGTCTTCAAGTTGGTCGCCGGGCGTGGCTTGTGTTATTAGTTAGAGTCCTTGTAGTCTGTTCGTTAGTAGAAAGTGATCCAAACTTTGTGCATGTAGCTCTGAATTTAGTGGATTGTCATCTAATGCATTGTAAGCCTTGACTTTCAAAATGTTTAATGCTTCTAGAAGGATCTTTTCTTAAGGGTAGTGGTCTAAGCTGTTTCTTGGATTTGAAAGTTGAAGGATCGCGCATACAGGAGTGTGGTTCTTTTTTATATTATGTGGTGGTATTAATACTTAAGAAGTTTGTGTTTTTGCTTGAACAGGATCGGCTTATATTGTTTGAGATAAAATGCTAATTGTTTAGGAACTTTCTAGATGTAAATAATGGATTTAGCTCCATTCACCCATGCTTTAATTGTGAATGCTACTTTTTTGCGTGCCTGATTCTCCTTTGGCGTTGTGTAAATAAATGTACAGCATTTGACAAATGAAAAAGAATTAAGTTTCCTTTGAGCAAATCTTAATAGTATTGGGACAAGTCCATGCTTGAGTGAGTTCTCTGTGGCAAATCCATAAGGGTTTGTTATTTGGTCAAATCATACTTTTTATTGTTTGAAGAGAAATAGCTGAATTCAATATTAACAGTCACCTGTTATGTACTATTTTGAGATATTTTATGTTTATTGCTCTCTTTGACTGAAAGGAGCTTTTCTACGACAAGTTTGTATGTGTTTTTGCATTCCTTAAGGTTCCTTCCTTTTGTGGAAGACCTGATCCCCGTTTATGTAATAACTCTAGTTTTGCTACATTGTTTTATTTTCTTTATTTCTTTTAAGTTAATTGCAGGACTTGTGTGGTTACATATTAGAAAGTATAGAAATTGTTACTTACTAATTATTATAAACCAAATTATGTTACAATGAAGGTCCTAAATGTTTTTAACTGGTGTTGTATGCTGTTTTGCATTTTTGTGAGGTTAACATGTTTTGTTTAATCTCAGGTGAGGGATGAAATTGAACACTTATTGGATGACAATGAGGATATGGCTCATTTGTACTTGACAAGGAAGTGGATCCAGAATCAACAGTCTGATGCTTTATTGGGAACTTCTGTTTCTAATAGCATCAACACTATTACGCCTCATCTTCCACGAATTAGTTCTAAAAGAAGTGGGAGTTTGGTGAGCAACCACTTGGATGATAATGATGTAGAGGATCTTGAGATGTTGCTTGAGGCCTATTTTATGCAGCTGGATGGAACCCGTAACAAGATATTGTCTGTGAGTGTTACCTTTCTGATCTTTTTTTGATTAATACCTTTAAATTTGAACTTAATTCTCTGCAAAGTTTTCTTAGACACTATTTGGGGGCAGATAGGTAGCTTTAATGTGCAATTAAAGGAGAATGTGACACTGCTCCATACAAGTGTTTCCTTGATAAGTTCCACATAAGTCAATTTTACGCAAGACTTCTAGCATCTCATGCTTATTTTACAAAACAAGAGTCGTGGTTTATATAAAACTGCTATGATTTTGAGAAAAGTTGGACGTAACCATCACTGGTAAATAAAGTCCATATGCGTAAACATCTTAAGTGGAGATAATAGCATGGCCAAGAAAATCTTGTTCAGTTTGAAGGTATCTGTTACATAACCAATTCACCAGATACCAATTCGGACCTTTTTAACGTTGAAAATTGTGATGCTTACCTTCTTACAGATTTGCCTGTACTTTGAAATAGCAACGTTTTCATTGGACTAGAATTGTGCTCACTGCTCTCTTCTCTACTGTTATCCTCCCTAAAGTTAATGGACTTTTAGTTCTCTCGAGTAAAGTAGTTTATTTTGTCTGCCTTTTCACTTCTCTTTCTCTCTAAGAGGAGGATGTTATGTACCAATAGGCTGTTGGTTGGAATAGTTAAGCCTTTGGTTTGTTCCTATAAGTTTTGGGGTCGAACCACCTAGTGGGCGCCGACACGACAAATGTCATACTTTCCAGCCTTCCAAAGATTGTATGGTTTGGCGGAAGGCTCCGGTTTCAAACTCTGGCTCACAAAATGAGTTTAGAGTATTTCTGGATTCATAAAAATAAAAAAAAGAGAATAGGATGTTACGTTTTACCTGGCAAGGCTAGATCCTTGTAGTGATTAGGAATTGTACTTTCTCAGGATTTTGTGAACAATTGGTAGAAACCTGTTCTTATAGAACAAGAATGTTAATTCAGTTATGCATACCCTTGAAGCTTCATTTCGTATTAAATTGTCAGTTGGGTTTGCAGGTCCGGGAGTACATTGATGATACAGAAGACTACGTCAATATCCAACTCGACAACCAGCGAAATGAACTCATTCAGCTCCAGTTGACATTGACAATTGCATCATTTGCTATAGCAGTCGAAACGTTGATGGCAGGATTGTTTGGCATGAACATCCACTGCACTTTGTATGACAAGGAAGGTATTTTCGAGCTTTTCGTTGGAGGTATTACTGCAGGTTCTGTACTGCTTTTCCTACTTGTTTTAGGGTATGCTCGATGGAAGAAGCTGCTTGGTTAATAAGTATACTTAATCATCTCTTATTTTGTTTATAACCTGTAAAATTACGATTTTAATTTATCGACCCACAAGTTGGCTTTGACGATTGAATATTGCTATTTGGGGCTGGCAGATCTATTGCTTATGCTACATCTTAAGAGTGAATTAATGAAAAAAGTTTGTTATGCTTCTGATAGGACAGTTGAGTTTCCTGGGGTTTTTGTCTTGATTTCATTGGCATTGCTGTTTTGTTGGGAATCAATTATTTTTATTCACCTATCAATATTATACATGCCTTTGATTAAGGTGTTGATTTTCACTCATTAAGTAGAGCACTTCCGTTTTTATCCAAAGAAGTGGGGATATTAAAGTTTGCTTCAATAGTTACAGGACTCCTTTCATGTGAATCCATTATTTTTGTTTTGGTGAACCATATGGAGTTCTTTATTGCACTTCATTTTATTGCCCTGAAGCTTGGGGATGGGGATTCTAATTCGTCACTTTATGGTGGAGTCAAGTACGGGATTTTGTTAGGCTATGCCTACGACCTTATTGCCCTTATTTAACTCTCATGAAAAAGAAAAAGAAGAATTTTCTTTTCGTCAAATTTACAAATGCTGTTTGAATCATGATTTTGTCCTGCCGCTATTTTTAAAATGTGTACTTTCGTATATCAAGTCTAGGGTTATGTTTGGTAAGGGGAGAAAGAAAGGTATATAACCAAGGTGAGAAAAGTAAAGAAGGGTAGGATCTCTCGTATGTTCGGTATAGATTTCCTCTTCTAATATCTAAATATTTAGGGAGTTTAAGGTCCCGTTCATTTCACCGATTCGAGTTTTATTACAGTAAAAAGTTTTCAGAAACAGTCACATTTAATTTTTTTACTACAGTAAAAAGTTCTCACATAAAGTCACATCTTAACTCAAATTAAAAACTTAAATCAACGAATTAAACGGGCTATAAGTTTGTGGTTACTCAAAAATTTAAAATTCATTTCCAATCTATTTTGCTCAAAATTCTCTCCGATTCAAAATCCTTCCCTAATCCTGTAGTCCCTCATCCGGCTCACTCCTTTCTTTTTCTCACCAACCAAAGAAGCTTAAAAAAAAAAAAGAAAAGAAAAAGAAATAGCTTCTCTTGTCCTTTTCACCTCCATGGCTATGATCAGACAAGAAACAAGACCAAAGATTACCAAGGCACCAAACCAAACCCGCCCATTTTAAGGCGGGTTTCTATGGATAGCCGCTCTTTCTTAAGTAGACGGTTGGCGAGAAGACTACGCTGTCTCAAAATCTGTCCCGTTGCCATCTCAACTTCATTCCTTCTCTCTCATAGTGCGTGCGCATCAATAGTGCTGTGTATGGAAGATCATTTATTCACGATCATGGGAGTCTTGGAGGAGTTCTTGAAGGCTGAAACAGGGCGTATAAGACCGTATAGGAGACGTATTCTATACAAGCAGTGTTTGCTCTAATCTTGATGGAGATTAGTGGCTAACACATGGGTTAGTACGGCAATCAATGAAATTGTCATGTGGATTTGGCGGGTTGAATCAAGAAAGAACTTTTATTCCTTCTTCCAAACTTGGAATGTTGGAAAACACGTTTGTTAATTAACTTTTTTATATTTTTATTTAACTAAACAAATAAAGCATATTTAGGCTTAGTTTGGTAGAGATTTTGGGAGCTCAAAATGAATTCTCTACCTAGTCAAAGTTATTTTTTGTGTTTGGTAAAAAACCCCCAAAAGTACTTCTTAAACAATTTGTGTGAAATTTGGGCTCAAAATCAGAAGCAGCCCAAAGGCTGATTCTGATTCTAGATTGTGCGGGAATCCGCCGTTTCATTTAATAAAAATTTCATTAATTTCGAAACTATCCCATTGTCATCTTTGAGCTCAGTCTCTCTTCTCATAAACCAAAGCTCTCTCATTCCCATGGTGTCGATTGCATCCGGTTCGGCCCTCGCCATGCTTCGAGGCGACCAAAACGACGTCTCCGCCGCCGCTCGTTCCCCAAGGTTGGGACTGAGACCGTGCGACTCAAGCAGCACCACTAAGTTCTCGCTCTCGACAGCGACGGGCTTCGCCGGTGGTGTCGGAGCTCAACGTGCCACCGTGGTGGAGGTGGTGACGGCTAAGAGAGAAGGGAAGGGGAAGAGAAAGAGAGAGGCGGAGTGTTGAGAGTTGGCGTCGTTTGCGGAGGTCCTTCTGCGGAGCGCGGGATTTCTCTCAACTCCACGAGATAAGTTCTCGATCACATACAGGTAATGTATGAATTCGGATTTTTATTTAGTATTGTTTGGCTTCTGAAAAAGTGAAGTAAAAAAGCTAAAAAAGAATTGGTTAATTTACTTGTACTCATCAATTTTAGAGATCGTTACATTTTAGTCCTTGAATTTCTTTTTATAACATTTCTGGTACTAGAACTTTGCTTTAGTGCTTCAAAGTTTTTTCTGTCTAAATTGAAGACTTGACAATTGCATTATTTTTATGAAATTTTGAATGTTAAAGTGTCACGGACCTCAAAAGAATGTGGCATTTCTGGAATGTTTTTATTCATTTTGGGTCAGGGTGCAAGGAATCGTTCAACACAAGAGTGATTTCAATACTATGGTGAGATTGTGAGTATATATTTCAATTATTTTTTAGAAATTGTATGTCGTATGAGCATCAATATTATACAGCCTACAGATCTAGAGTTTAATGACGTGTCAATAGAGATAATGACGGATCATTTTAGTTGTAACTATATTGTGAATAAAGAAATGAAAAAAAAAGAATTAATTATCATAAATTTGTTGTTAAAAAACTTAAAATCATAGAATTATGTTTTTTAAGTTAAATAAATGTTTCTAAATACCAAAAACAATTATATATATTTAAGTTTCATACCATGTCTATTTTAGTCATTTTACATACTTACAGCAATTCAACATCAAAATTTACCAAACACTATTACACTGATTTTAGAACCAGCACAACTGCTATAATTACAGTTTACTAAAAACTCAACTACTTCTTATAACAGCTGTTTCTTCATTCAGCACAGTTAAAAATAATTTTTTTAAAATCTACAGCACTACCAAACTAAGTCTAAATGTGCCAGAATAATAAAATCAAAACACAGCTAATCCGGCACAGAGAAAAAGTCAATCATATCATTTCATTGCATTCTACTAAAGGGGATGAAGGAGGAAAAATCAATGCACGAGAAACGTATCATAAGGGGATGAAGGAGGAAAAATCAATGCACGAGAAACGTATGATTATGATGTGTAAGTAGATGTAAATCATGAAAAGTAGAACACTTCTAGAGATACTTTTTTCAACTAGAAAATAAATAAATAATCAAAATAAAAAAATACACCCTCCACTACTTGAATTAGCTCTTCTAACCTATATATAGTCACACGTCTTCATAGAATTTCATCCTCGACATCATAAAGTCAAATGCCTTTAAAAAAAATATTTCTCATTATAGATCTTGTAGAAATATCAGAATGAAACAAAAACAATTTACTATAATAATAAATAAAAGAATCAAACCATTGACTTTATTAAAAACAAGACCGTGTTTAGAATTGATCAAATTTTTATTTTTCATATTTTTCAAAAAAGAAAAAATAAAAACATTTTCAAAACGCCGTTTGGCACAATAAAGACAAAAAACGGAAATGAAAACGATTTTTTAGTTTAGTGTAAAATGAGAGAAAAATGAAAAATAACTTTTAGTCATTTTTCATTTTTTGTTTTCGTTTTCTCCTCTCTCGAGCAGAGAGAAAGGGAGAGAGACATTAATGAGTTTTTTTATACTGAAAACAATCTATTGATAAAACTACCAAACATAGTTTTAAAAATGATTTCTGTCTAAAATTAAAAACGTTTTCATTTTTATTTTCATACAAAAAATAAAATCATTTTGAAACGAGTTCTAAACGTTTCTAAAGACTTTTTCATACACTCTTTTTCCATTAATGCGCACGTAATGTTAAAAAATCGGGTTTCTCCTACCCTCTTAAAAGTTGGTGAAGAATTTAAAACCTTTGCAACATTTAAATGATGACCTGGAGGGGTGATATTGGCTCGTAAAAATTGAAGCATAATGAAAATTTGAGGTTACTTTAAACTTTCATAATAGAGGATATTACTATATTAGAATTCAAAATCAATTTTATTAATATTTCATATGTCACATGTATATTACTAAAAAAAAAAAAATCATTAGTATGTAGTATTCTTTGCCTTTTGGAGTAGGTAAAGGTCCTTTGTTTTGTTTTATGTCGTGGAGACGCGCTCGTCATTTCACTATCAAAAAAGTGTCGACTTAAATAATTAATTTCCATGTGCAACTTGATTAATTTGTTTTCTTATTTTAAATTTTAGAAGGATAAAATTATTTTGGTATTTTTTATTATAATACAATCTCGTTGAAAAATTAGTATTATGTGTTTTTAAAAATATTAAAACGGTACATTCATTTTAAAAAAATATTTTTTTGAAACTCTGAGACAGTTTTTTGAGACATGTCAATTATACTCTTCTCACTAATTAACAATAAATTAATAATTTTTTTTCAAATTTTAAAATACTTTTAAACATTTGAAAATTAAACAATCAAAATAAATTAAATTGCCTTGAGAAAATATTTTAAAGTTATTAGTGTATTTTTAATTAATAAAAAGAGCTATTTGGATATTGTATGTCTTAAAAGTCAGACTTAGAGTATTAAAAAGTGTCTTTTAATGGTGAATGTACTGTTTTAATTAAAAACACAAGATATTAACAAGATATTTCACTATAATAAGAGTACCAAAACTAATCATGTTCCTAACTTTATTTTCTTTTCTTTCTTCTTTTTTTCCGAACCACTTATACTTTCATTTATAATTTAAGTACTAATTGAGTTTAATTTTGTTAACACTTCCTTACAATAAACTAAATTATAAAAAAATAAAAACTAAGACACCGTTTATTTCACTAATTTGAATTTAGAATTCAAATTTTATTACAGTAAAAAGCTCTAAAAAATAGTCACATCTAACTTTTTTGTTATAATAAAAAACTCTTAAATAATGTTACATTTCAACTCGAATTAAAAACTCGAATCAACAAACTAAACAGATTATATCTCAACTCGAATCAACAAACTAAATAAATCCCTAGATGTACAAAAATAAGTAGTACTGGGAGACAAACAAAAGTTTTCTTTTTCCCTTCTAGTTGCACGACCAAAATATTGCATTGAAATGATTAAGTCAAACACTCTTGAAAGGTGCGGGCCGCGGCCAAGCTTTTTCAGGAAAAGGCAACAATCGGCATCACATACCACACAAATCGTAGTCATCTATAGTAACTAGGGAAAAAAAAAAGTATCTTTTGTCCTCCAAAAACAGTTTGTCTTAATATAATATTTTGGGAATTTTTTTGATGTTCTATTTTTTTTAAAATATTAGTATTATCTATTTATTAGTCATTAAATTTATATTATTTTTTTAGTTTAATTTATTTTTTAACTAAATTTAATATAAATTTGACGGCTGATAAACATAAAATACTAGTGTTTTTAAAAAAGAGAAAACACCAAAAAATATCCCTAATATTTTCAGAGATTTCTCTAAAAGACATTGAAAAGATAAACTATAAAAAATGCTCTATTTTTAGATGTTATATTTATACCGCAAATTATTTATTACACATATTTTTTTAATCTAATGTAATTTTAACAACATTTAATAATTAATGATAGGAGGTCTTATCAGAAAAAAGATCCAATATTTTCATTAAAAAAAATCTTGGTATGAACAGGTATAGACACATATATCATGTCATAAATGAACCGTAAGATAATAAAACTAATAGCCATACAATAAAACTACAATTTAAATTTTACAAAACTTGGTCACATTTAAGGGTCCGGGTGGGACATCAAAAATAGACTATTTATTTTTTGCTAATGGACTATTTATTTAAAATATTATAATGTTTTCATCCACAAGTACAATATCCTAATTGTCTGTATTATAAGGTACATTTTACTACTTAAAAATCGATTTGAGGTTTAGGATTTAAGAAGTGTTTGGTCGGTTCTTTTATAGGTTTGGTCGGTTCTTTTTATTGAAAGATATAGGGGTGGGGCCCGTTCAATTGTGGGGTCCATTTGCCTTTTCTTTTGGGGAGCGAGCCCTTTTGATCCGATCGCAATAATAAGGTCGTTTTGATCGGCTATGTAGTGGGGACCACTATTGACATTTTCCTTTTTAAGCAAATATAATAATAAAGAGGAAAAAAGAGAAAGAAAACGTGTAATTTTTGATATATGATTTTCTCTGATATTCGATTTGGCAATGGCCATTGGTGATAATCAAACCTGTCTCAGACGTCTTGAACTTAAAATTAATGATAAGACAACAACTGAAAGAGAAAAACAAAAAAACATCTTGACTTTTGTGCAATATTTACCAGTGTCCAATTACTAACAGAGGTTTGACTATTTACCAATTATTTATTTGTCTTGTATAACGCGTGTTTGAAATAAGGATTTGTTATAATATTTTGTTTATAAAAAATACACGTAAATTGAGAATATTTCTGAATTATATTTATAAATTCATGAACTAAACGTTTAATTCACAAATTTAGGTTTTTATTTTTTATGAGAATTTTTTACTGTAGTAAAAAAGTTAAGTATTACTGTTTTTAAAAATTTTTTATTATAACAAAATTCAAATTCTAAACTCGAATTAGTGAAATGAATAAAGTCTTAATTTTAATAAATTACACCATAAATTTTTAAATCAGTTACAATTAAAATTTAATAGCTGATAATGTCATATAATTAACAGTTCATAATAATAAATCAACTATTAAATTTTAATTACATCTGATTTTAAAATTTATAATGTAATTTATTAAAATTAAAAATTAAAAATACATTATATAAAAAATAAATAGTTTAGACTTTAGTGTGTAACAGTATAAAATAAAATAAAAAAGAAGAAAAAAACCGGGAACTAAAAAGAAGCCTCTCTTACCTCCGCGAGTACGAAACGGACCTTCTTCTTTCTCCCTTCCTCACTTCATTTTCATTCCTTTTATCTCTCTCTCTCTCTCCCTCGTAGTGCGTGCACATTTGACAGTGGTGTGTTTGAAGAAGAAGAAGAAGAAGAAGAAGAAGATCATTCATTCGGACATTCGCGATCATGGCGTCTTTGTCGGTGGAGGAGTTCTTGAAGCAGTGCGAGCACTCCGGTGACGCCGCCTACGCCGCCCTCCGCTCTCTCCTCGACCGTCTCGACGATCCGACCACCCGAGTCGCCGCTCGTATCTTCCTCTCCGACCTCCAGAAGCGCTTTCCGTCCAAGAAAGCTTCCGAAAAGTGCTTCCAAGCCTACCATTTCCGGATCGAGGACATCTTCCTTGACCAGTACGAGGGTAACCAATTCATCGACCGCCTTTTTGCTCTGCTCTGTTACGATTTCGATCATTTGTTTAGAGAAGATCCTCGCTTTTCATTTCACTTTTTTGTTTATGGTGAAGAATGACAATGAAATGTTGGCAAGAACAGACTCTCTCAATTTGGAAGCAGAATCTGAAAACTACAAACAAAATACAGCTTTTCAAAACAAAAACTTGAAAACTGTGTTGATCTTTATATAGAGTGAGATTATGTGCTGATGTTAAACACCTTAGTCGCATCATTTTCTGTGCAGAGTGCTATTAGTCTTGTCTCTGTTTGGAACCACAATATGAAAAAACCGTATCCATATTTTTTCAAAGTGCAATTTTGTACTCTTCTTAAACACTTTAGTTGCATTGGTTTCTGTGCAAAGTACTGTTAATCTGTGTGCAAAGTGGGTTTGAGCGCTTTTACTCAACACTCTGGTTGTATTGTTTTCTTGTGCAAAGTGCTTTTTAGGGGTTCCAAAAGCAATCCTAAACATGGCTAATAGTTTGCTTGTTGTACCTTTTTTGGGTTTGGTTTTAATTGTATATGCAATGTGTTTGTGAAAATGTTTCAGGTTACCAAGGGAAGAAGAAGCTGACGATGATGGTGATTCCCAGTATTTTTATCCCAGAAGACTGGTCTTATACCTTCTACGAAGGTTTGAATAGACACCCCGATTCCATCTTCAGGGACAAGACGGTTGCCGAGCTGGGTTGTGGCAATGGCTGGATTTCAATTGCCATTGCTGAGAAATGGTTGCCTTCCAAGGTTTTCTTGCTCAAAGATGATTATTTCCTTTTGTTTTTGTTTTATTTGGGTATTCTTTCGATGATGAGGAGTGTTTGGCCTTTTGAAGGTTTATGGTCTCGACATTAATCCCAGAGCGGTCAAGATATCTTGGATAAACTTGTACTTGAATGCTTTGGATGAAAAGGGTCAACCCATTTATGATGGGGAGAAGAAAACTCTGCTGGACAGAGTGGAGTTTCATGAGTCTGATCTGTTGGCCTATTGTAGAGATAATGACATTCAACTTGAACGGATTGTAGGATGCATTCCTCAGGTGTGTTCGAGATAGGTTTTTTGGAAAGGTTAACTTTGCTAGTTCTTATTTTGACTCTTTATGAATAGGTCCTTGTTTGTGTTCTTGCAGATTCTTAACCCAAATCCGGATGCAATGTCTAAGATGATTACAGAGAATGCGAGTGAAGAATTTCTGCATTCATTAAGCAATTATTGTGCACTACAGGTTTGAACAGATTGTTGATTATTTATTCTTGCTACTATTAAGTATTATGTGCAGCAAAGTTAGGAAACATATTTACTAAGGGGTTGTTTGGGAGCTATACTCAAACTCAAATCATGATTCTGCTGCAGTGTTTTTTATCTCCCAAAGAGTTTGAATTCTAAAATTTCCTCTCTCACAAAGTTTCCGCCAATGAATCCAAATTATGATTTGAGTATACCTTCCAAAAGGGCTCTAAGTATCCTAGCAGTGTTAAGTCCTTCAAGACTTAATGGAGAAGGTGAACTGTTTTGGAGGACTATGGTTCGGAGTTCTCATTGTGTACCAGAATCAATACATTTGGGCTTATAGATTTGTTTGGTTCATACTATGGAACTCAGTGTGCATATGGATCCATTGCTGTTCAGAGAATGTTCTTGGAATTGTTTCTTTTAAAATTGTAGTCTAATTTTCTCATTTTTCTCCATTGATTTTTGCATCTTAAAAATTGTGACTATCGACGGAAATGATGATCCATAAATCTAAGTAAATGCGTGGCAGGATGATATTAGTGTTTCAATCCTGCATTGACCTTATGGAGAATAAAGAAATCATTAGAACGAAGTGAATAAACTCATATTTTGTAAATTAAAAAAAGAAAAGAAAAGAAACCTGCTTCTTTTAATATGTGTGAAAACTCCTTGATGGTTGATATGCCTATGTTTCCTTTTTGCTCATTATTATTTGAGGGAAATTCTTCGTTTACACGATTTTATTTTAAAATTGTTTTCCTTGTATATTTTTCTTTCATTTCTGCAGGGTTTTGTTGAGGACCAGTTTGGCTTAGGTCTAATTGCTAGAGCAGTGGAGGAAGGTATAGCTGTCATCAAACCTATGGGGATAATGATCTTCAATATGGGAGGTCGTCCAGGACAAGGTGTTTGTAAGCGCTTGTTTGAACGCCGTGGTTTCAATGTTACAAAACTTTGGCAAACTAAAATCCTCCAGGCAAGTGAACTTTCATTTACTTGGATAAAACTTCTACCATCCAATTTTATATCCAATTGAAATGTGTCATTACAGGCTTCCGACACAGATATTTCATCTCTAGTTGAAATCGAGAAGAATAGTCCACACCGCTTTGAATTCTTCATGGGACTTTCTGGTGATCAGCCTATTTGTGCTCGAACAGCATGGGCATATGGAAAGGCTGGTGGCCGAATCTCTCATGCCTTATCAGTTTATAGCTGTCAACTTCGCCAGCCAAATCAGGCATGCAGAAACTTTCATTTTTCAATTTTCCAATGTAAATGTATGCTACGTCTAGAATTGGAGGATAATGATGTTTTTCAATTGACAGGTTAAGAGAATTTTTGAAATTCTTAAAAATGGCTTCCAAGAGGTCAGCAGTTCTTTAGATTTATCCTTTGAAGATGATGCTGTTGCCGATGAGAAAATTTCCTTCTTAGCTTACCTAGCTAGCATTCTCAATGGGAGTTCTTTTTGCACGTATGAGCCACCAGCTGGAAGCAAACACTTCCGCAACCTCATTGCTGGTTTTATGAAAACGTATCACCGTATTCCACTCAAGGCTGATGTAAGAAAAGAATCTCTACTTTCCAAGCTCACGATGCTATTTCCTTCTCAATGCGTAATTCTTGAGTAATAGTCCCTTGGAATAAATCAAACATAGCTGCTCATTGGCTCTGATCTAGACCACCCAGTATAAGAACTTGAATTTAGTAATAGCATAACTGAAAAACAAATTTCTTAAGATATTTAAATCATATTGGGCTACTGTGCCCACAACAACAAATTCTCTTTTTCTATTAAGATTTTGATTCTTCTGTTCCTGCATCAAATCGAACACAGATAATTGAAGAGTTGAAGTTGTGTCTACATGTGTGTGTGTGTGTGTTTTTTTTTTTTTTTCCTTTTTTTTGTGGTTTTGTTTTAGGCTGTAGACTAAGCGGCATTTCTGACTCTTGTTTATGTTGTGGCTAGAATGTTGTTGTCTTTCCTTCAAGAGCTGTGGCAATTGAGAATGCTCTACGATTGTTCTCACCTCGTCTTGCAATTGTTGATGAAAATCTAACTCGAAATCTTCCCAAGCATTGGTTGACTTCTTTAGCACTTGGGGTATGGCTCCTTCTGTTTATTGTTGTAGGCTTGTACTTTTGTTGGTTTATTTGTAAAAAATTTTAGCACTTATAATGTTATCTATTTATTCATTCTGCAAACGTGGCTTAGCTGACATAGTTCATAGTTCATATATTTGGTTTGGGAGTTTGCTGCCGTGATAAATCTTTCTACATGGTTTTAAATCGATCTGAACAGAATTTTGACGTGAAGGTTTTTGTTTGTTTATTTATTTATTTTCCGTAGTCTATGTCCTCCTAAGCTTTCACTGTGTATTTGAATGCTAAAAGTCTCTCAAGTCCTGCACTTTATAAACCTAAAAGGGTGAAGTTGTGGAGCTAAAATATTTTGTTATTCAGATTTCATATTATGAGCTTAAAGCTTCACTCTTCATTATGCGTTCATAGTAGGATCCCATTTCATGAATTCAATAGTGCAGACAAGATACTCCTTCAATGCCATATAAATTTCGTAGTTTTCCTTTGGTGGATGTGGAACATTGTGCAAGGTAATAACTGTACTTCTATCCTTATTGTAGAATACAGGAAGCAATATTCCTGTGGAGGATGTGCTTACTGTGATTGAAGCCCCTCGGCAGTCAGAACTGATGATAGAGCTGATAAGAAAGCTAAAACCGCAGGTTGTGGTTACTGGAATTGCTCAATTTGAGGCTGTCACTAGTGCATCCTTTGTGCACCTTTTAGATGTTACGAGAGGAATTGGATCTCGTCTTTTCCTAGACATATCTGATCATTTTGAGCTATCCAGCCTTCCAAGTTCAAATGGAGTTTTAAAATATATCGCAGAAACTCCACTCCCCTCACATGCAGCAATTATTTGTGGACTAGTGAAAAATCAGGTATTTGTTTTTCTTTAATGTGATCTATCTCTTAACTTAATACCACTACACTGGTAGGAGGCTTTCTACTTTATTTTAATCAATCAGCACCCTTAAACTTTCAGATTTATTGCCCAAGATATTGCCTTTACTGGCTGTTTTGCTAGATCTTCAGATCTTCTAATTAGCGGTGTTTCAACGCTCTTTCCAGGTTTATTCAGATTTAGAAGTAGCCTTTGTAATTTCAGAAGATGAGGCCATTTTTAAGGCCTTGTCCAAGACCGTGGAACTACTAGAAGGAAATACTGCACTGATCAGTCAAAGCTATTATGGTTGTCTTTTCCATGAGCTTCTAGCTTTTCAGCTTGCTGACCGGCATCCATCTGCCGAGGTTTGTTGTCAATGGTTTTGGTTTTAGTTTTGTCTTTGTTTTTGTTGTTGTCCCTTTTTTTTTTTTTTTAAATGAAAAGCAACTTCTAATTTATTAGGGGAATTTCTTAAAAAATTTTACATAACATTTTAATTTCTGAGTACAAGATTATATCACATCTAAAACTGTTCCATGAAGTACGTGATTGGAAAATGTTTTCATAAGGTCTAGACTCTAGCGATTTAGTAATCTCAATGCTCTCGGCATAAGCTCCTCACCTTTGAGAACTTGTTGAATAGATACTTTAACTCCAATTGAAAAATATCAAAACAAGATTATCTCCTATTAAGATGCTAGAGGATTCTAGTTATGTTGCCAGTTTAGTGATTATTATGTTGACTGCAATCGTGGAGAGTATGTCCCAAAAAATTTTACTTGGTAACGGGAAAGTCTTAAATAAGTTTATTGTCTGTGGAGGTAAATTGCTTCTCAAACTGATTTCTATACATGCTCTTCAGAGGGAATTGGAGAAGGCTAATTCAGTAGAGATGATAGGATTTGCTAGTTGGGCAATCTCAGTCCTTAACAATGCGGAGTTGTCAATCACCGAGGCCGAAAACTCTTCCTTGATCCACATGGATGCTGATCAAAGCTTCTTGCCCGTGCCATCTCCTGTCACAGCAGCTATTTTTGAAAGTTTTGCGAGACAGAATTTGGCTGAGTCGGAAATAGATGTTAACCCTAGCATCAAGCAATTTCTCAAGAGCAACTATGGGTTCCCAGTTGATAACAGTACAGAACTTATATATGCTGACAGCACACTGGCTCTGTTTAACAAGTTGGTCCTTTGCTGCATCCAAGAAGGGGGGACGTTGTGCTTTCCTGCTGGTTCAAATGGAAACTATGTTTCTGCTGCCAAGTTTTTGAAGGCAAATATTGTAACTATACCTACTAATTCTGAACAAGGCTATAAACTTACGGAGAAAACACTTTCTGGAATCATTGACACCGTGCATAAGCCGTGGATCTACATTTCTGGACCTACGGTTAACCCAACTGGTTTGCTATACACCAACAAAGAGATAGAGAATTTGCTAACTGTATGTGCCAAGGCTGGTGCTAAAGTTATTATTGATACTTCGTTTTCGGGCTTGGAATTTGACTTTGAGGGGTGGGGCGGCTGGAATTTGGCGGAAAGTTTATCAAAGCTAAACTCGCTCGACCCATCCTTTTGTGTCTCTTTGCTTGGAGGACTGTCTCTAAAGATGCTTACTGGGGCACTCAAATTTGGATTTCTGGTTTTGGATCAGCCTCTTTTGGTTGATGCGTTTCATAGCTTTCCGGGGTTAAGCAAACCTCACAGTACTGTCAGATATGCCGTGAAGAAGCTGCTGAGCCTAAGAGAGCAGAAATCAGGAGTTCTGTGGGATTCTATTGCAAAGCAGATAAGAAACTTGGAAAACAGGTCAAAGCGCTTGAAAGAGGTAAACATCTCCTCTCTTCCCTTCCTATTGCTTTTTGTTTTGTCTTTCGAGTTGTTATTGCATAGTTCCGATCTTATTGTTTTGTTCTTTAGCTCTAGTTGTATGGTCTATTCTTCCAAGGAAGGAGATTTTGCTACTGATTAAAGTCAGATCTAATGAAAGAAATCATCAATCGGATTGTATTCCAAAGGTTGAAAAAGTTGCTTTTACTTGGATATTTTGGAAGATAAAGTTTATAGTTCAACTTAACACAGCCCTGTCATGTTAAAATTTAAACTAAAGGAAAAATGAAATCTTTGAGAAACTTTCACAGACCACATGAAAAAAAGAAAAAAAAAAAAAAAAGGTATATACTGCAATCAACTTGGAAAAGTATATAATAAGAGGAAAATCAAACGCTGAAAAACTTGGGTGTCTCACTGAGCAAGGATGCTTGTCTCTGTATGTCTTTGGGAAACTTGCCGAGGTACAAATTCTTGAGAGTTGTTTATCCCCTGCAATTTTCTTACCTTATTTCTTGTTCTAATCTTACTTTCGCCACAGACATTGAAAAACTGTGGATGGGATGTGATCGAACCATCCGGTGGCATTTCCATGGTGGCCAAGCCCTCAGCTTATCTCAACAAGATTGTGACACTCAAGGACTCACCCAAAGACGGAAGCATAAGCACAAATTCCAAAGCCTATGAAGTGAAGCTGGATGACTCAAACATAAGGGATGTCATTCACAAGGCAACTGGTTTATGCATCAACAGCGGCTCATGGACTGGAATCCCTGGCTACTGCAGGTTCACCATTGCTTTGGAAGAAGGAAAATTCGAACAGGCATTGGATTGCATTGTGAAGATTAAGAGCATCATTAGTAACTGAATTACTCATTATTATTGTCTGCGGCAATCTGATACGTCGTTTTCCCGAGTAACGCAAACCTAAAGTTGATTTCTTTCCTCAAGTCAGGCGTCAGTTGAGGTTTTCTTAATCTTTACCTATACACAAGTATACAATTCGATTCGATCCTGTTACTTATTCTCATGGGTCCGTATTTCTGTTGGGACTCATTTATTTGTTATCAAATCAAGCCAATATGTGTTTGAACTCTCTTAATACATATGAATAAATCTCAATTTGTGTATTCTACTTGTTCTCTACTTTGATACATCAAATCTTTGCTATAATGTCCTATCTCAATTCACATTAAGAAAATACGCAAACCAAACATCTTGAGAAGAACATATAAATATATGACTGGGTATTTTGATCTTTTCTACTTTTCACATGCATGATGATACATCGCAGCTCAAATAAAAGTCAACCAAAGGAGAAAGTCCACCTTTTCATCTCAAAACTCAACTTGAAATTACAAAAGAAAACTGAACGTCACTCGAATAAAGGACAACTGCGCTTAGGGGCGGGAATCAAAAGAATCGGTAAGGAGGGACGGACATATAGGCCATGTTTAGAGTTAGTTTTGTTTTTGTTTTTATTTTTCACGTTTTTTACGTTTTTTAAGAAAGAAAAAATAAAAACGAGAGAGAAATGACGTTTGGCATAATTAAAGACAAAAAATGTAAATAAAAATAATTTTTTGGTTTAGTGTAAAGTAAAAGAGAAATGAAAAAAGACTTTTAATCGTTTTTCATTTTTTATTTCAATTTTTTCCTCGCTCGAGCACAGAGAGAGATAGAAGTATTAATAGATTTTTTTATACTAAAAACAATCTCTTGACAAAACTACCAAACGATTTTTAAAAATGATTTCTGTCTAAGATTAAAAATATTTTCATTTTCATTTTCATACAAAAAATAAAATTATTTTAGAATAAGTTCTAAACACACTCATAATTTTAAAATATGAGTGAGGGTGGACACATATATTTCATTAATAAAAAAAAAAAATTAGGACTTCACGAGAAGGTGTGGCTCTGCCCAGCTGCGCTTGAATCAAATATCAATATACGACGTGATATGTGTATATATCTAGGATTAAAGAAAACCATATAAAAGATTTCAGTACATTAAATTAAACATCGATGATCAGCCTACCTTTATCACATTCACAGTGCATTAATGGCTACAATGCTGAGCGTTAAACTAATCAAGGACTCTGGTTTTTTTGCTGAAAAGCCACCGAAGTGTGATCACCACGATGAAGAGAACCATAGCTAGACATTCTATAATAATGATGTTCATATATAGGTCAAGATTAAGATCGGGTCTGCATTTATCAGTTTTCATCTGAAAATAAAAATGGCATGTTTTCTATATAGTATATTTAGTGGGAGTTACTTATCGGTAGTTCGTGCCTTCACTCATTTTTTTTTTTTTAAAATGTATTGTTTAAGTTTTTATTTAAAAGAATCAATTACGCTTTCACTTTATAAGAAATATTATAAGTGAGTTTCTATTTAACGATTAAAGTACATAATTATGACTATGCAATATGCATAATGCCCTATTTTTATTTTTTTCTTTTTCAAGAAACTGCCTCCGCCACTAAGGCTTAGTTTGGTAGAGAATTGGAGCCCAAAATGAATTCTCTACCCAGCCAAAGTTACTTTTTGTGTTTGGTAAAAGATCCAAAAAGTACTTCTTAAATAATTTGTGTGAAATTTGAGCTCAAAATCAGAAGTAATCCAAAAGTTGTTTCTCATTCTAAATTGTGCAAGAATCCACCGTTTCATTTAATAAAAATTTAATTAATTTCCAAACTATCATTAAGTCTAATAATGTGTAATGGCAGAGCTGACTCTATGCATAAATATATATATATATACATATATATATATATATATATTGTTTAAAGTTTTGGTTAAGTTTTGATCTATTATATTGAAAACGTCTCAAAACTGACCATAATATTAGTAGAATGTAAAGCTATCAGACATTATAACCAAAGTCACTGAAGTATCCATTTTACCCTCACTTAAATAATACATGGGCTGCGCATAATAGATGATCTATTATGTTCTAATTTTAAAGCAAACGTAACAAAAGGACTAACATTATTAACATGCCAAGATAGATCAAGATCGGTTTAAGAATGTTTCGTAAAATATCAAGAATAAAAATAAGATTTAGTGTAAAGTTTAGTGACCATTTTTAAGATGAGTTTTAATCTACTGTAAAGATTCTATTTTCTTGACCTAAGTTTTATTTTAGTGACAGGATTACTCAAATTTAGCAAATTGGGTAAGAAAATCGTCAAAATTCAAAATTTAGATGGTAAGTTATTAAGTGTCTGTTTAGTTCGTTGATTCGAGTTTTTAATTCGAGTTGAGATGTGACTTTATGTGAAGTTTTTTACTGTAACAAAAAAGTTAGATGTGTTCGTTTCTGAGAACTTTTTACTGTAGCAAAACTCGAATTTTAAATTTAAATCGGTGAAATGAATGGGGCATAAAACCCTAAAAATTTAAGGATAAAATGTGCACAATACCCTAAAAGAATCCACTATACAGTATAATCTTAATAAATTAATAGCTTCGATTTAATAATTTTTTTGAGAGGTCCATACTTAAAAAACTATCCAAATATATTGATTAAATAATATCTCTATTAGCTAATAAATTTTCATGATCCCAAGGGTATTAATTTATAGAAGTTTAATTACATCATGTTTTTAAAATTATTGTAAAATATGATTAAAATTAACCAAATTTTCAACCGGCATGTGATTAAAAATGTAGTAAATTGACGTTTCATTGACGGGAGCACCGAAATTGCAACATATGAATATGAAAAGTTCGAGAACTAATTTTGTTCAATTTAATCTATGGTGGGACAAAAGTAGACTGCACCTATATTTTGAGGCCAAAACTACAACATATAAAAAATTCAGGGATAAATTTTGTACTATTTTAAATTGTGAGGGACAAAATTAGAGAAAATCTCGGCCTTGGGGCTAAATTTAAAACTTACTTCTTTTTTCTTAAAAAAAAAACAATTAGGTTAGATTAAGGATTGTGTCTATTTGATTCATACGTTTAAATTAATGATTCTAATTTATTAATAATAATTTTTAAGAGAACAAATTTTTAAATTTAAATTCTTTATAAAATGAAAAACGGGCATGAGTGTCCTTACCTTATCTATATTCTATATATAGTTAGTCGGTACCAAGTTTTCGGCGCTAGTTAACTAGCCGTTCATTTTATCAGTTCGAGTTTAGAATTTGAGTTTTATTACAGTAAAAAATTCTCAAAAATAATAATATCTAATTTTTTTATTAAAATAAAAAATTTTCACATAAATCACATATCAACTCAAATTAATAATAGGTTATTCTTTTACAACAAAACTTAGAAAAAATTTAAACTCAAGTTACAACTTTATTTAAGTTCACGTTCTTTTAAGTTTCAACTTTATTCAACTTTATTCAAGTTATAATTTTAACTCAAATTATAACTCAAATTTAATTTAAAAACTACTCAAGTCACACTCTAAAAAAAATATGTGTAAAATCAAATGGACTTTAAATAAGTAACTGGTGTCACATTCTTTGTCTCCTCAACACGTGTTTATGTTGTATACCTTCTTTAGTCTCTCGAGCATTCCAGATAGAGACACATTACTACTACTATTATTATTATTCCCTATTATTTGTAAGACGAAGTCTTTTTTTTTAAAGAATTTTTTTTTTTTAGTCTGTGGTAGTCTCACTGTTTACCTTTAAATTTAATTAGATCACGTCATATTAAAATAAATAAAAAAAATTTAATATAAATTTGACCGTAAAAAAATAAGAGAATGTTAATAGTTTATTTTTATACAGATTTGCAGTCTTTTTTATGGATTTTTTTTATAATTATTATAAAAATAGATTATTTAAATCTGTATTAAAATTAATTTATTTTATATATATTTTTAATTTAATATAATTTTAATTAAATTTAATAGTTAAAAATTGAGACTAAACTCCTCTTTTTTTAATCAATCAATCCTCAAATATCCCAAAAACTCCAGACTCTACTAGGTTTTCCCGGAACCACATGAACAATCTAGAGAAATCAGTAATATATACCAAAAACCACCCACGTCAATTCTCCACTTATATATACATACACACACTCATTCAGACTTCTACACCATCAAGAAAATAAAAGAAATCTCATCACAGATATTTGAAATCTCTCAAAGCACTTTCCCACATTTTCCCTCACTTTCTCGAGAAAAAAGAAATGGCTAGATCATCAAAACTCTTTGTTCCTAGCTTTCTCATCATCCTCTCAATCCTGACCGTCCAAACCACTGCATTGGTCCCGTACACGCGGTCGCTGTGGGACATGATGAACAGCATCAACCTTCCGTACGACGACCCCTTCCGAATCCTCGAACAGACGCCGCTGACGATGCCGAAAGGCTCGGACACCTCGGGACTGGCGCTGGCACGTGCGGACTGGAAGGAGACCCCGGCGGCGCACGTGATCGAGCTCGACGTCCCTGGGATGAAGAAGGAGGACGTGAAGATCGAGGTGGAGGATAACCGGGTGGTGCGGATCAGCGGCGAGAGGAAGGAGGCCGCGGAGGAGGCCGAGGGCGAGAAGTGGCACCGGGCCGAGAGGATCAACGGCAAGTTCTGGAGGCAGTTCAGGTGAGTGGTCGAGTCTGGTTCTTCAAAAATATTAGCTAAATCGATATATAGGGAAAGTTCGGTTCATAAATTTAAAATTATTTTTAATTTATATATATTTTTTAAAAAAATAAATATTATAAGGAGTCGTAAGTTATAATTTAAATCATATCACAAACTTATTACGTAAACACACACATAATCTTTTTTTCAGTTAAAAATAGTAAATTTTATTTTCTCACAAAAAAGTAATCATTATTATAAATTTAGATTGCTTATTAATTTTTATGAGTTGGATTCTTAAAATTAAATTAGATTTAAAAAATATTTTTAATATAGATGGTTAAAAAGCAGAGTGTTATGGATATTTTTTTTTCCCTCATTCAACCAAAAAACCCCTCATAACTTTTAGTATTAGATCATGAACTTATATAATTTTTTTTAACGGAAATAATGGTAATGACTAATGATAGTAATTTTTGTTGTTTTTTTTATAGTTTAGATTTAGTCAAAATTACATTCAAATGAAAGATTATACTCAATATATTGGGCGCATTTAGAACTCGTTTTAAAATAATTTTAGTTTTTGTATGAAAATAAAAATGAAAACGTTTTCAATGTCACACCGAAATCATTTTTGAAAATGTATTTGGTAGTTTTATCAAGAGATTATTTTCAATATAAAAAAAATTTATTAATGTCTCTTTTTCTCTCTCTCCTCGAAGTGAAGAAAACGAAAATAAAAAATAAAAAATGATTAAAAATTGTTTTTCATTTTTTTCTCATTTTATACTAAATTAAAAAATTATTTTTATTTTCGTTTTTATCTTTATTATTTTAAAAACGTTTTCATTTTTTATTTCTTAAAAAAGTGAAAAATAAAAATATGATTAATTTTAAACATGACTATTACGTCTAATACTAATCTCATGGTTTAGAACAGGACTTACTGTATCGTATTCTTTTTAATATTATGGTACAATTCTCTAGTTTTTACGGTTTTAAAAAAAGAAAAAGAAAAAATTCATGATTCCGTCTCTGTTGTATTCAGGTTGCCTAGGAACGCAGATCTGGACCAAATTAAGGCTCATCTGGAGAACGGGGTTCTGAGGATTACAGTGCCCAAGTTTGCGGAGGAGAAGAGGAGGCAGCCCAAGGTTGTCGACATCAAACAAGAGAACGCTTTCGGTGAGGATATTGAGGCTAACAAAGCTGATCTGTGAGAACGATATGTTTCCTAATGTTGTATTTTCCATGGAATGATGAGAGATATAACCAAGGATAAGAGCAATATATGGTTTTATGTGTGTAATGTAAGAGAAACAAAAGGGACAAAATAACGACTTAAAAGTGATCCAATTGTCATTGTGTTGTTATCTTATTGCCCATCTTTGTGTGTTCCGACTATCTTTGTTACTTTATATGTACATGGAGTTGTATTTATAGTTTTTGTGTATCTATTTATTTTATAAGTTTAACTATTGTTTTCTTATTTTTACTACTGTACTCTTTTGTAGAATTTCATTTAGTTCGATAATTTGAGTTTTTAATTAAAATTGAGATTTTATATGGGAATTTTTTACTATAGTATAAAAGTTAAATATGATTTTTTCTAAGAGTTTTTTACTATAATAAAATTTAAATTTTAAATTTAAATCAGTGAAATAAACGGAGTTTTAAATTTCTGTAAATTTTTCTATTCAAAGGATGGATGTTATTTTGTTGGAAACTCAAATATCTAAAAAAGGGTTCACTAATATATTGAAAGGATGGATGTTATTTTGTTTGAAACTCAAATATCCAAGTATACAAGATGATAATAAATAATAGAAATTGTAATCAGGATTTATCATAAAAATTAAGAGGTGGGTTTATGTTAGAATTTTTTTCATTAAAAATAATATAAATGGGTAACTTCTGGGATGAACAAAGCATTTCAAATTTTCGGAAAGGTGGAAGAATAAGGGTTTTGAATAGATAACGACGTCGTCTCGTGTGTGTGTTTTTTATGTGTGAAAATTGTTATTTTGTTAAGTTAACGCCAAGAAAAAAAATTTAAAAAATAAAGCAATTGAAAAGTGATAAATTAATTATCAAAAGAAAAAAAGAAAGTTGAAAATTAGACATATGTTGGATGTACCGAGGAGTACCCTTAAAATAATCAATTGAAGTCTGAATAGTAGTTATATTTGTATCTATAAAATTTATAAATACACCCTAACTAATTAATATTTCATAATATATATCTAAGAAATCTATGAACACTTTTTATATGATTTCTAATTTAACACTCTCATATTCAACTCCCTCAACGCTTTCATTTTTATTTTATCTTGTTTTATACGAAAGAATAATTAACAAATCTTAACAATAATAAAAGCTTTTCTCATTTTTTTAAATCCATGTCAAGAAGGAAAATACTTACGTGTGAAAGTATATCATAACAAATGAGTTTTGAAAGCTTTTCAAAATAAATATTATAATCGAAATATCCAAATTTTTTTAGCAAAACTCTATCTCATTGTTATATCAAAAATCAACCAATATTTCTATTTATAGCTTATGCGGTTTATATATAAAAAGATGCATTATGTCTTACGTGGATTATATACAAAAAGATATATCTTTAATGGACTTTATCGTAATTTTATTGTAAGGTAAATTAACAAAAAATTTTATTTTGGTGGGGGTATCCGTATTCATGAATATCAGGAGTGCAAATGGAATTTCTCTCAATTGGAATACATGAAATTCTAGATTTTGAAATCTAGACCGGGAGATAACGACAAACAAATTTAGAGTTTTTTGTTTTTGTTTTTTTTTTTTCTGAATAAAACATTTTATTAAGGAAGCTCATCAAAAAGAACATTCAGTACACCAGGAGAAAGATGTCCCAAAGGCTTAAAAGCCTGATAATTTTGAACTGAAATCAAACAAAGCTAAACGAGGAGCAACTCTATTGAGACTTGTTCATTTTATTCGAATTTTACTTTAAATTTTTACAGTTAAAAATTTTCAGAAAATGTTACATTTAATTTTTTCTGTTATAATTAGAAACTCTTAAAAAATATCACATGTCAACTCAAATTGAAAATTTAAATCCACGAAGCGAACGAGGTTTTAGTTTCATGCCTAACCCAAGAGAACAAGACATATATAAGACTCGCGACACTTGACAAACATAGTCGAAAACTGGAGTCTATAGCATCAATCCAAACCTTGCAATCACTTTCGATGATAAAGCTTGGACCACCCTCTCCTACGCGCCAATGAAACTGCTCGCAAAATACCGCGCAGCTCTGCCTCTAAAGCCGAAGAAGCCTCCTCAGCCCCAGCATGCGTTGATATTGGGGCGCCTCTACAATTTCCGACAATCAAACCAGAAGGAGGCTTCCCAAATTTTACAAGAAAGCATCAAAGTTAATCTTTAAGAAGCCTACTTTGGGCGCAACCCACCGAGCAACTGATGGAGTGGCGAATGACCTAGAGTCTGACGCAATGACAAATGCACAGCTTGCCACACAAGCTACATCAATAAGCAAAGCACCAAAAAGAAGTAAAAGACCATTGTTTGTACCATGCTGCAAAACAAACTCAGGAGGGTGTAATTCGAGTTTTTAATTCTAGTTAAGATGTTACTTTATGTGAAAATTTTTTTATTATAGTAAAAAAAATAAGATATGACTATTTCTGAGAGCTATTTATTGTAATAAAATTTGAATTCTAAACTCGAATTGGTAAAATGAACAGAATATCCAATCCAGACGTCAAAGTGAAATGATCAAATGCGGGCATTACGCCAGCCGAACCAAAGAAGTGGACTGATGTCTCCTCTTCCATATGACAACAAGGACATTGAGGATCAATTGACCAAACTTTCGAAAGACGGCTTCTAGTAGGCAAGCTGTCATTACCCATCAATCTTTTATGCAGATTCGAATTCCAGAGATCAATCCATACCTTGTTTTTTTTGGAATGAAGAGAGTTCTCTTCACAGCCCAATAAGCCGATTTGACAGAAAATTCGCCTTTAGAGGAGTGAATCTAGCAAAGCTTGTCAGGCAAAGCGGAAGGGCGCACTTTACAATTCATGATAAGAGCAGAATGATGCTCGTCGAACAATTCTCTGAAGTAATAGAAACAACCTTTTAAATAGGCCATTCAGATGTTTTTATAGAGGAAACCTTTTAAATACAAGCATTCAAATGGGCAAAACAAATCAGAGCCAATAAAGAAAAAAAAATAAAGCAAGCAGTAGATATAGAAAGAATTCCTATTGCTAGCAATAATCTGTCTTTACTGAACAAAAGACTCGGAAAAAAGAAGCACGAAAATACTCTAGGACTGCCAAATACTAATGTAAGGCATTGCTCTATCAATCATGTGTACATTAATTACTGTACTATTTGTTGCAGCTTGTTATGGGAGTGGAATGGCAGTAAGTGATTGAATGAAGCTATTTTGATCGGCGACCGACTGCGGCGACGGGGAACGGGATCGAAAACAACGGTGTTGGGGTCATGGACGCTTGGTCATGGATGCTTGGCCTCTTCTGGGCATGGCTTGCTACTTGAGTTGGTGTTCTTGTCCTTATCACATTCTTTAAAGATTTTCTAAGAGCCCGTTTGGTTGGAGGATTTATTCTCTGATTCGAATCATGATTCATGGTTCGCTATAGTATTTTCTCTCATAAAAAAATATACATAAATCGAAAATAGTTCTAATCTCATGGTTCTAATCCATGAACCAAACGGTTAGTTTTTAATTTGTACAGATTCTGTTAAATATTTAACAATTAACTAAGGATCGAAATTAAAATAATTTTATGGACTAATTATATGACGTTTTAAAAGCCAGTGGTTAAAATGGAATTGAGAGTAAACCCAAGTTTGCGTTTATTACTTAGCTTAATTCAACTCGGTTTGAACAGTGAGTACAGTTTAAACTCGTGTTTAGTAAGCATCCAGATCGAATTATATTACTCATTTGAACTGAGTTAAACTGTTCAACTTAGTCCATATTTGTTTCACTAATTTAGCTCAAGTCAATTTAGTTTGAACCGACGTTTGGTAAATATGCATTTTGAATTTTATTCTCCATTTGAACTAAGTTAAACAACAAAACTTTGAGTTTAACTCTTTCTTCAAGTTCAACAGTTCGAACCATTTTTGAACAGTAAAAAATGCTCACTTTCTTTGCTTTTCACACATACTAAACACAAATTCAAATTTTATTTCATGTTTAAATTAAAACTTTAA